GAAAAGAACGAACCCAAAGACAATAGTATGATAGAACTAGAGTTAGCTAGGTTACGCATAACCCAGTTAGAAAAGGAAATTGAACTAGAAAAGTTACGTCGCCAGGGATGTAAAGGTTCTGGCCAATCAGTAAGCAACAGTGAGAATACAATATTAAAAAACCTGTATTTACCAAAAAGAAAAGTCTTAAGATTTGATGGTACACCGAGAAATTATTGGAATTTCATTAGAAATTTCGAAGAATGCATTGAGAATGAGAGTATTGGATTTAGAGCTAAGCTAAATTACTTGATTCAATATTGCGACGGAGAAGCGAAAGCCGCTATCCTTCATTGTACTATACTAGAACCAGAGATAGGTTATCGTCAAGCCCTAGAACTTTTAGAGGAAACGTTTGGCCAAAAACACGTTATAGCACGCACGTTTATCGACAACTTGCTAAACTTTCCCATTATAAGAAGGAATCAACCAGATGGTTTGAGAAGACTGTCTCGAGAAATGCAAGCATGTGGTTTGACTCTCGAACAGATGAATTACATTTCTGATTTGAACTCTTCTAGAACTATCGAAACTATGGTTCTGAAATTACCAACGCACATTCAACAAGAGTGGCTAAAGGTAGCTTATAAGATTATCAGAGGAGGTCGAGAGCCTGTGTTTGCCGATCTTGTCGAGTTTGTAAAGGAACAAGCTGATATAGCTAATACTAGATACGGCCTACTTGTCAACCGCGGTAGTAATAGTGAAAATAGAGATGTTGGTGTTTTAAAAGGGAGAATTAGCGGAGATTACAATGCAGCAAGGATATCTTACGCGAGTACTAGTGATGACAATGTTGCCTTACGTAGTTTGTCCTGGTTGGAGTGCTCAAGTAATCATTCTTTAGATCAATGTCAAAAGTTTAAAGACAAGAATGTTAGAGAAAGGAAAGAATTCGTCCTTAGACACAAGTTATGTAATGTTTGTCTGAAGGCAAGCCATGTAGCGAAAAATTGTCGATCACCGAAGTCGTGTAATGTTGAAGGGTGCGGTTGGAGACATCATACTCTGTTACACGAGAAGCGGGAAGAACAAAGAAATACTAATGGTGATGCCTACATTAATACTCAGCTTTGTACGGAGGAAGGCGTTAAGTGTATACAGAGACCAGTAGCATTTGCAGTAGTGCCTGTGTGGATAAAAAATGGTGAGAAGATTATTCAGACTTGCGCCTTTCTAGATAGTGGGTCAGACACCTCTCTCATAGTTGGTGATCTAGCTGATAAGTTAGGCCTCGAGGGGAACCCGAAAACGGTATCTCTAAAGACTCTTAGTGATGAATCGTCGTTGGTATCCAAAGAAGTCGATATAGAGTTGCACTCGATGGATTTTTCTTCATCCGTTAAGGTCCAGAAAGTATTGACAGTCAACAAATTGCCGGCAGTTTACAGGACTGTACCAACGGCGCATCAAATGGCATCCTGGCCCCATCTAAAAGACATAAGTTTTCCGAGAGTAGAAGATGAGAACGTCAAACTGTTGATTGGGTGCAATGCACCGGGCATACATGAAATGAAAGAGATAAGAACCGGAAAGACGAATGAACCGTCTGCTGTGAGGACTATATTGGGTTAGACGCTGTTCGGCACTTATAGAGAACCCCGTGCAAGCAACTGTGTACTGAATTACCTCTCGGCTAAGGAGGAATTAGAAGATAAGTTTGAACAATTGCATTCAACTGAATTCAAAGACTCATTTAGTCGTACTTCATCGATATCTGTGGAAGATCGCATAGCGTCACCAGAATCGTAAAAACCACTGGCTAGTCAGACTCATTGCTTCGCCGATGCCTCAGAATCTGCATGTGGTGTTGCGGAGTATGCTCGTTCCGAAAATGTCTCTCGTCAAGTTCATTGCTCCTTCTTATTAACCAAGTACAAGGTTTTTAAGCCAAAAAGCGAAGCACTATGTGCTAATAAACCCAAATCAACTCTAGGAAAGCCTAAGGAAGAGACGGACACCAAACTGAAAGTCAGGACTACGAAAAGACCGAAGGCCACTGTAACAAAGAAACCAGTAACTAAAACTCTGAAGAAGCATACAGCACATATTCGCCGTGGTATCGAGGATGGTGTCGAGAAAGGCGCTCTTGTACGAGTTGTGAATAAGACTAAGGGTGCATCTGGTAGCTTTACAGGAACCAATACTATTCTCAGACAGATCAAGTGTAGTTGCAATCGGAACAAGATAGCAGATGTCCTTTTTGAGAGAGGTTGTGAATGGCGTTTCAACCCACCTAGGACAAGTCGTCGAGGTGGTGGGCGGGAACACATCATAAGATCAATTAGAAGAATTCCAAGAGTGCTTTTATTTCAAAACGTGTTGATCGATGGAGCTCTACAAACGTTCTTGACCAAGGCAGGAAGGATACTAAATAATAGACCTCTGGTTAAAATGACAGACGATCCCGGTACCCTGGAGGCTCTTACACCGAATAAGTTGTTGTTGATTTATAAAGGATTATCATTCGACGGTGCTTCGGTGGATAAGACGTTATTATATAATAAAAGATGGAAAGAAGCTCAAAGATTAGCTACCGCATTCTGGAATAGATGGATGAGAGAATATTTACCGACTCTCCAAACAAGAGACAAATGGTTGAACGTACACAAAAACTTACAACCGGCTGGCCCAGTTCTTGTTAGTAGCGTCGAAACGAGTAGAGGTCTATGGCCTAAAGCTATTGTTGAACAAGTAAGCTATGGTCCTGACGGTCGAGTTCGTACGGCAAAGTTGAGAACCGCGAACGAAGAAATTGTTCGAGACGTACGAAGCTTATGTCTACTGGAAGAAGCCTGCTATCTAACGGCGACGACGACCCAGAACAATGAACGTGGTGCGCGTTTCGGGGGGAGTGTAAAATGTGATCGATAAACGAACGCACCAATGATAAGGTGAAACGCCCACCACCACGTTAACTTTCTTTGACCTTGTATGACTATACTTTTTTTTATTATCCACCAATCATAATTTTATGTTCATTATAAAACAATATTCGCTTTGCTGACTCATTTTTCCTATTCTCTGATTACTGTTCGGTATGTTAATCGTCTCTGTTTCCCCTACGTTAATAGACTGTACTGTTTATTTTGTATACTAACGTAGTGTAATTTATGTTTTAGAAACAGATAAAGTTTATCAGGCCAAATAGCTTACTTGTTCTGACTTTGGCTAAAGCAAGACTCTGTATTCGACAGTTTAGAGAATAGCTTAGTTAAACCTGTAGGAAATTGTTTCCTACACGAGGGTCGTCTGATCTAATCTGGCTAACGATTGCAGTAGCTGTTGAGCACGACGTTCCCACACGTGATCTGGTGTAGATGCATGACCGAGCGCCTTCAGCTAGATGAGTCCGTTAAGACTAATGTGGTGAGTATCCGGCTGCTATTAAACGCAACTCGATTTCATGAATGTGGCTGTCAGCTTAGCAACCAATCAGAATGAAGCGGAATTATTATATCCACCATCTTTGTAAGCAACCAGAGCAAAATTCTCAGTATAATCTAGTTATTTAATAAAAAATACATTATGAAATGACAAATTCTCTGGTTACATGAACGCAGAGATGACCGTTATTACACTGGGTGATACATTAGGCTTACATGGACACGTTGGGAATAAATCCACCCCAGTATCCAATGTCGAAAACTTACAGAGCTATTTATTTTGGGGATTTATTTACCGCTACAGTGTAATACTTCAAACCGTAGGACACGACGACTTCTTAATCTTTTTCGACTCGTGATAGTACTAGAGAGGAGCTTCTTAAGTTGTAACTTTAGTCTGCAACATGTCGCAGACGAACTACTTTGCACTTTGAAGTGTCAAAGGTAAGTACGTTATCGTCTGCCCAACTTTGAAGTCGAGTCAGACCCTCGTGAAGTGCCTGTACGTCCTCTTGGTTGCGTATCACTCTCGAACGTTTCATGTCATTAGCAAATAGTAATGTCTGACGATACAATTATCATTATTATTAATGGCTATATTCAATATTATATTTTTGGTACAATATAGAATTTTCAGCACAAAGTATTTCAACAAGTTTCCCTTTTTTATTTCTTGATCAGTTCTTGCGATAAATATTAAGTGGACGCCAGTTAAATGTCACCGGTTCAGGAATCGACATCTGATAAATGTATATCCTTTTCGATGCATATTGTCAATAACCATGTTGTCTCTGATTGAGCTCTGTTGTAACTTGTACAGCGAAATGTCGTAAACTTATTACAAACGCACCTGAATACGTTACGAGACTAATAAGCATAATGATATGTTAAAAGAAACAAGAAAAACAGATAACTTGTTGGAATATCCAGATGGCAGGAACAGGTAGCCCATATATTCATGCAGGCCGCCTTGTGGAAAAGGCTCCTATGTCAAAGTAATGGTCGGATCGTACTAGCTCTTAAACCAGAGTCATGAATTGAATCTAACGGTAGATTTAGCTTCGTGACGCCCATCTCTTATACAATTATTAAGCCCAAATAAACCCAAAAAATGATTTCAACAGATAACAAAAAAGATTTAAAAACTTTTTGGATGCAGAGAGACTTTGGAACATGTTCATTTGTACCGGTTCTAAATAGTTAAAATCTATTTTCTAGAATATTAAGGACGCAACAAAAGCCTTGGTGAATAAAAATGGCTTGTCCTATAAGAAAAAACTAGTCAGTGATCCCCAAGGCGGCTCCAGAAATATTGCAAAAATATTCCATAATGAATTTTTTCACCGATGATAGTGAAAGGCCAGTCGTTAGGTCGACCAATGATATATTGTTAGTAAATTTCATAGTCAATCAAAACTATGAAATTACGTTGAAGGCGATGTGTAAAAACAATATTATTATTTAAGTAACTGATATCACTATAGATTTATTGTCAGACATTCAAATTCTACTTAAATGGAAGACACTGGAATGACTTCACGGATAAACGCCTTGGCCTTCATAGGCTGCCCTGAACGTCAAGGTCTCTTGCACCTCTCAATTGGAGTAGTATTTGATTTGTAGGTCAAAGGCTTATAAATTGTAAGGATATTAAAGCTTCAGATAATTGCAACCTGCGGTTCGCTGCTTATGTATAAGCACAATTACAGATGTCTATCTCACTCAATTCATTAGGAATTATTTTGGGGCAATAGGAAATCAAACAAACTTTATCTGTGCCCGGTGATTCTTGATTATCTTTTGACATTTTCATACGTCTAAAACCAAACCAGGTCATCTAAATATTATTCAGAATTGCTGATAATGGCTGATATTTCGGCCGCTATGGAAAGGTCGTTTATATCCATGTTTGTACATCAGACCTTTGTTCCATAATGACAAGTCCTCTGATTAGTTTATTTCGTCTATTGTCAATTCTTCCACTTGCCTATAAATATCAATATCTTTGTACCTCTTTGTTAGTTCCATTTAGTCTGACAATTTGCCAAACAATAAGTCAGCACTGAAATAATGTCTGTTAGTGTTAACAATATCTGGTAGACATCTGGATATTTGGAATTAGTATGGCTAGATCTCCACAACAAAGGCAAACTAAATAAATGTTAGTACATAAACACAAATTCCATCTGCTGATACACTTCAAAGTGACACAAAAATGGAAATTAGCAAATGCGAACACAATTTACTAACAATATATCATTGTTCGACCTAACGACTGGCCTTTCACTATCATCGGTGAAAAAATTCATTATGGAATATTTTTGCAATATTTCTGGAGCCGCCTTGGGGATCACTGACTAGTTTTTTCTTATAGGACAAGCCATTTTTATTCACCAAGGCTTTTGTTGCGTCCTTAATATTCTAGAAAATAGATTTTAACTATTTAGAACCGGTACAAATGAACATGTTCCAAAGTCTCTCTGCATCCAAAAAGTTTTTAAATCTTTTTTGTTATCTGTTGAGATCATTTTTTGGGTTTATTTGGGCTTAATAATTGTATAAGAGATGGGCGTCACGAAGCTAAATCTACCGTTAGATTCAATTCATGACTCTGGTTTAAGAGCTAGTACGATCCGACTATTTCTTTGACATAGTACACTCACTGTTGGTGTTTTCTCGCTCCAAATTTTAGATAAGCTGGACATGATCATAAACTATGTCACAGGCTGTTAATATGAATGGTAAACTACATGATCGCTTTTGACAAATTCGTGATGGATCTGGATACATCATAGTAACCACATTGCTGAAATTCTGTGTTTACAATTGTTATTTATTTGAACACAAACATTGGTACAAGGGGGCACCAAATACATATGAGCCACACAATAACAATGAAGCCAGTAGTCATTATCATTGATTTGTGTGAGGGCTGTGATACTGCTCGGGTGCATGGGGCCCTTGATATAAAGGTCTAATGTACAAAGCAGGGGCAGCGTTAGGGGATGAAGTTCAATGGTAGCCGGTGACCAACAGTAGGTTCATACTCTATTTGTTCCTTTAGGACCCTGAAGTTTATATGTACCACTGGTTTGGAATCAGGGTTTACTAACTTCGCTAGATGGATCCTCTGTGTCCACTGACTAAGGTCATTCTATGATAAATAAAACTACATAAAGTTACTGAATCGAATGTAAGGTTGAACTGGAGTCGATTTGGTAGACAACACTCGTCACTGAGAGAAGGCAGTGAGTAGAACTTCCGTGGGAGTGGCTTTATACGTGTGGCCATGTGTGAGCATTTGTAGAGGGAGAGTGAACTCTCCCCACTCTCGACCGTATCAGGGCACTTAGTGGCAATGATCATTAAGTATCTGAAAAGCGAATGTTAGCTTTATTACAAGTAATTTTAATGCATCTTGGATATTAAGTTTATTTCTATATGACATTTCTTCTCAAAATATTCTTGCTCTCAGTCCTCCTCATAATTTGCTTTATCAGTAAAATTTCCACAAATGCACACCTATGTATTAGAATTTGTTCACTTTTGGAGCAGCATCTCTGAACCGAGTTGTTTTTATCTTGCTATACTTGGCCACTAAGACTAATATTGTTAGCTATTTTCACTATTAAATGAAGACTTCGCCAGTGGTTAATAAGTTTATATTTTTAGGCATCAAATTATCGGAGCTTACTTAAAATATTCCCATTTCGGCAAGTGGTTATTAAATCGGCGTGGTTCTTCTAGTTGTTTGATATGCCTACTGATTCTCTATCAGAAAACGAAATGTCGGTTCATAGCTCTGTCGTTTTTAGTTTTTCAGATCAGGTGACCTAGTGTATGTATCACTTAAATATAAGTCATTGTGCATAAATTTGTAAATCAATCCCCAGAAGCTTGTTCAAATCCGTTATTAGCTTTATAGAAGTTCCACCCAACCAAATATGGTAAGTAACAAATCATAAAAATTATGCACTGTTTCAGACTCAGTCATCATACTTAATGGCCTTTATTCGGAGTCTCATGGAAAAGTAAGATATTCCAATTCTCACTTAGCAAATTACTTTCCAGTAGCTCCATGGACATCCGAGAAAAGAAGAGACGTCAACTCGAAAAAGATTTCACAGAAACAGGAGCGGTGCTTAACATATGTCTCACTGGTTTGTGTTTTGTCTGCATAAAAAATTGATTTACATTTCTAGAAAAGTTTGGTGATGTGAATAAGATTTTGAACACTTATGGAATTGTTTCACAGCGTGTTAGGGGTAATTTTAATAGTTTCACCATAGAATATTTTTAGATAACAAGACGTCTGTCGCTAAAATACAAAGGGATCTTGTCGAGTGTAAAAGTTTGCTATATTGCAACAGGGAAGAACTAAGGAGACTGTGGCTGGAACTCGTTGAGCAGAGAAGATGCTTAGAGCTGGTAGATCAGTTAGATCGTCTACGTTCTACCCCAGATGCGTTGGGGTATTTAGTAACCGCTCGTGCGTGGTCTGAAGCCACTTCCTTAATGATCAACTCGAATTATATGCTTGATTCAGAAATTGCCTCAATACCCGCGGTTCAAACACTGAAAACTGACCTGGCACATAAAAACAAGGTAATGTTGGCTTTAAGTTTGTACAATGTACAATTTACACTGTTGGATTTACACAAATTTATGGTCATTTTTATTTGCTTCTTTGGAGTTAACTCACCATATATTCAAATTTATTCTTCGTGGAGTTTAAAGACTAGCTAAAAAGTTACTAGATCAATGGTCCTTGATTATCATAAAACTGCGATGTCCAAGAATCGATTTCTTGATGTAGAAGATGTGTGATGTATGTCAACAGACATAAGTAGTATGTAAAATAGATCCAAAGTGGAATTCCTGACAGAAAAAGGTTGACAACCGAATGTAAGAGAACTGGAACAGAAATTAGCTGTAATGGCAGTGAAGGGACGATGAAGTTTGAGACAATCGATGGAGGATTTGAAAATGAAGCATTTGATGCATGGCTTACACATTTCACGAAAGAACTCTGTAATTTTGTATTAAACAATAAATTGGTTATCCCCACGTAAATGTTCGTCCACAATAGATGTAGTAAGCTGGAGTTTCCCAAAAATTTCCTTTACAAGGGTGGTTGTCGGTGATATGTTGTTTAGAATGTTTGCCATACATCTGTTTTTAATGATTAGTTTCGCTAATCTCGCTATTCATATGGTCACCTCAATATCCAGATAGCTATTGATAACTAAATATACTGTATAATAGATCATACTTGTTTATTGTTTTACTGAGGCACCTTCAGTAAAATTTAAAGTGAAGTATTTTATGCATTCTTTGCAAACCATATTCTCTACGTTTGGTCTTCTCTTATTGATAATACTACTATTCCGACTTTTTTTTACCTATCTGGTTCGTTTCATCACTCTGTAGTAATGTAGCGCATCAACATGAATCAGTGTGCATTTTTCTCAGATCCTACGTTGATTATGCTTAATTGACTGGCAGTGAGTATAGTAGAACCATGGATATTTGGCAGTGTATCTGTGACACAATATTCAGGGGTTGTACAGGAACGCTTAATGGTAACTGAGTACAAAGTTTGTGTACTCGGCTTTGTGCTACACTGAAGAGTGATGACCTTACTTGTCTATCCAGATGGAAGTAGGTAGGGAAGAGCTAATGGTTAAAAGTCGGGAGCATTAACCATTAAGTCAATACTTCACAAACTTAAGTAGTGTAGTAAAGATTTCACTCAGAAATTCGAAGTGGTTGATGGGTTTTATGAACCTAAATCAGTTAAAATTAACATGTTTTGCACATTCTGGGCTATCATATGTTACCAGTACCAACGGACATTGGCTTCGAATAGTCAGATTCTAAAAGAAGAAAAGGGAACTGAGGAGTATGAAAAATTGACTATTTATTCTGTTAAAATTAGGAATCAAATGCTGTACTTATGACTAGCTTTTTATTTATATTTGGCTTCAGTTTCTTATTGATGAACTGAGAAAAGAACTGAACCGTTTGCTCTATGATAAACCGTTTATTTTGGCTTTGGATATGCATATCAGAAATCCTTCACGAGATAAATCAGTTCGCTTTCATTCTGAGTAAGTGAATCATGTTAAGCCAATCCTTTTTAATGATATTAACACAATGATGAAGTTAGTTGTTTTTATATCATATTTGCCTGCAATCTGACTCCAATTTGATGGTATGATGATGGAAACGAAGTGGATGCCCAGCCCACCCTCGTATATTTATCGACTTAATTAGTGGTAGTGAGTAGCGGAATAAAATAAGTCAAATAAGAGACTGGATTTTGGATACACATATTTCATGCACTTCTTAACACAAACAGACAGGAAGAGAAATGAAGCAGAAAAACGAATAAACAAAAAGACCTGGATAAAGACTCAAGAAAAATAAATTAATTTGTCTGTCCAAAAGCCAGGATAACCCTTGTAGGCGTGAGCTAGTACTAGATGCTGTTGTAATAGCGAATCGTGTTAATATATCTAAGTAACTCCGCAGTTCAATTTTTGAAACTTACTTGGCTTCAGTTAAGGGCATCTGGGATGACACACAATGTTATCACTAAGTGACCGCCGTGACTCATGAACTTATCATTGGTCGTAGCCTTGGCGTAATAGTTAAGGCTTTCGAATTCTGTTCATTGAGTTGTGGACTCCAAGCCCACTCTTCCTAGGTTGTTTTGGGGAACTAGATGTTGTCGCTTTTTGGCATCGAAATAGATGTGTGACTCAAAGACGAGCACATAAATCTGTACACAGCTACTAGTTCATAAAATAATAATGATTGCAGTTGAAGTAGATATTACTGGCATAGCTTTCTGTTTAGTAACCAGTGTTATACTATAGTTTTGGAATCTTATAACATTTATGGATCAAAGTTTTATAGTTTATTCATTAGGCTAAACCATACCAAATCTGAATGTATAATTCGAAAAGAGTCACTCGAAAAATTTATAGCCTTGTTTTAGGTTTGTCAGCATTCATCATTAGAAGGCTTGTTCAGAAAATGACAAGAACTCATACTCTTTCATATGTTCAACTAACTCTATTCATTGAGTTATCTGAAAGTATTGCTCTGTATCTATTCTCGGTTGACCAAACAAAACCTATATTAACGGAGAATAGTTTTTTTATTTCGGTTTTTGTGATACATTCATTTTGTATACTAACCAGTCTGTTGGTCGAATCAGTGCATTTTAGTTTTTTTAATCACTGACAATAAACTATCAATTATTTCGCGCTAATGAGATACAGTTTATAAAGGTGGCTTAATTCATGCTGTATAAGATTCATTTTGGAGAAATATTATACTTGGGCATACTGTGACGATTGTGTTCGTGTGCTAGAATAGAGATGCTCAGACTTGAATGAGACAGTTATTCTCTACTCATTTGTTTCCTATGGTTCTTCACTTAACTACTGTGCGCAGTGATGGTCTCGTTATTATTTTCTAGCCTGTGACTTGTAGGTCACCCAGTCATTGGCAGCGTAGAACGTGGCATATTTGTGTATCGGTTCAGGTTGCCACACCCTATTAATACAACGAGAAGGATATTGGAGGAAAAATGTCAAAGTAGTAGAAGTAGTGACCGTATCACTAGTGGTAGAAAACATTAAACATAGACAATATGATTCGAGAAGAAAAGATGGATTCACTGGATAAAAAGCGTAAAATAATTCTTAAACTCGACATGTTAGGAAAAACAGGACAAATGCATCAGCACCATCACAGTCCATTCTTAACCATGTTATATAAAGTTTCCAACTTTTGGACACCTGCGGGATATCCGAATGTCTACTGATTGTCAGATATACAATAAGAAAATCTTTTATTTTACCATACAAATAATAATCACTTTATTTAGTACTAAATATTTGATTATAGTATTTAACTCTCAGCACAAAATATACAATATTACCACAGATTTTTGTCTTATATTTATATTAGCTTTTGGTTTTCCAATCAATATGTATTTCCTTTAGTTTTTATGACGGGTAAACGGGAAGGAAAATATACTCATCACTTTGATCATTTGCCTAAATTTTGTATTGATCAACTAAGAGATACATTGCAAAGTTCTTATAAAATCACCCAAGTATATACGGTTAACATGGATAAGTCAGTCAAACCAAATTGAAAACAAGAAAATTTACTGTAATTTTCTAAAATTAAAAAAAAATCAATGACCCAAAATTTTCTGAAGTCCATCCTGATTCTTTCGCCCGACACCCTCAGTATCACAATTAAATTGAAACATATTTTCTTCCTGTTTTGCCTTGTAACTTTGTAGAAGTTAAATAAATCTATACTATATGTAGTTGTTATGAATTGTATGATCGTTGTTCTTTAACTGAATCCATCGAATACGAGATACGTCTTATAAGAAAACATACCTAATGCAACTAGCTAGGTCGAACGACTAATACAAAATAAAACTTCAACGAAGCCAACCGTGCTAGAATAATAGAGAGAGGGGGAGGGAGAGAAGATGCAACTTTTGAAAGAGCTTGCATGTTTCAACAAACGACAATTACATAATCGAACACTACAATATGTATTATTCAAATCAAAACATGCAATAAAAAATATTGATTACAAGGTATTGTCACATTACAGCGGTCATAATTCTTAAAGTTGTGATATGTTACAGCATTGTATCATTCGACTGAAGTTGTTCACATTGTTTGCAATGCTGACCAACTGCATCGAATCCAGGAGTTTCCTTTATTTTCCTGTTTATTCGGCTTATGAGTTACGCGTATTGGGTAGTCATTTTTGCCAAAGATTTCGTTTTTAGTGTCTGGATTGATTCTCAACTCTGCTATAAGCGTATCAATATAACCCATTCCACCACATTTGATGAAAAACGATTACAGTTAAGGTTAAGGCTCGAAGTAAAATCCTCAATACCAATAAAACTCATTCCCAATACTTTTCTCACCAAGTGTACCAAATAATGACTATAGAGACTAGATACACCATACTACTTACCTACTTATTTACGTCTGTTACTCGCAATGGCGCATAGGCCGCCGACAACATACAGCATACTAATTGAATATTTAAAAATTCGCAAATAACCTTGACCATTTTATTCATGAAACTAATCTGTATTTTTCTATTTTCTTTGTTAAATTTCACGCATATATTTATATATTCATAGTTTACAAAATGTCAATTCACTGAATAAAGCTGCTGTTACACATTTTGTTAGTTTACCATTATCTGATTGGTATAATGCATCAGTCAGTGAACCGGTAGTTGATGCGAATCTATATAAAGAACCTAGAACAGTGGCCACAGTGATTGCACGATCTACAGTAACAGCTTCACATCATGAAGATGACTCAGTTGATTCTCAACAACATCAACACAATAGTGCCTTATCTCATTCTGATTGGATACGTGAAATTGTAGCTGTAACACATTGTCTTATACGCTTGCAAAAATTACCACAGGTTAGGCAGATTATATTGTATTATTTTTATGCTAATCTTGGTAAAAGTATAATATACTGACGGTCTTAAGTTGACCGTTCGGAATTGAGATGACACCTCAATTATTTTGCGCAGAGTTTAAAGTACAGTGAGAGATAACGTGCTATTATTAACCAAGTGAAAATTAGCAATATTTAGTCCCTAAAACATTTGAAATCAATGAAAATATCTATTATACAACGATAAAGTGGATTTCAGATGGTGCTTAAGCTAAGTTACACGATGTGTGTGTTGAATTACCTAATGTCATTTATTACGTGGGCAGAAGACTCTGTACTTTGTAAGCGTCTTCACCATACAGAACTATATCATCTGTGTATTTTAAGTCAACAACTGAATCTCTTGGTGTATGTTTCAGGGATATATTTATATCAGTATTATTGACAACAAAATTATTAGTTCTATTCTTATCTCGTGTTCAATTTTGATTCCCATTCACTCACGCAATGTACAGCTCACTTTATTACCATTCGATAACCAAAGAAAATCAGTTTGACCATATCCTAGTAAATAATAAGGCTTTCCTTAAAATGCAGTCCAAAAATAAAGGATTTAAAATTCTCACCTGAATGAATTACTAACGAGAACCTCCGTAATTTGTATCTTTTTACCATTCAGAACAGAGGTTACCATGTAGTGATTCAAAGGTACGTCACTACAATTGAAAGTTGTACAAAACGTTTCGTACAAGTATCGAACTTGTTTTGATATCTAACACGTAACTAGTGCAAATATAACTCAAAATTGCACGTACCGGTATTAAATAGATCTTAGTCGATTAAACTGTGAATCATTGTTTCCATCTCTCATTATCATATGTAATAGTTGACATCATTTAATAAAGTTTATGACATTCCCTACTTTGCTTGAACCAATAATACCGACGCCTTAACTCAGCGACATGTTATACTAACGATTATTAACCTGACCCACGTAGAATTGTCTCCAAGCCCCAACCTGAACATATGGCAAGACGACCGATACTTCCTGTTACGGAGCAGGATAAACAGCTGTAACTCTAGCACAAATTTCGATACTATACACAACAACTCTCTTCTCGTTTACTTCTAACTACTCTAAAAGAGGAATCTTGTTAGGAAAGATTCGTTGGGTAAAACTAAACAAAAGTTTACACGATACTTTAGTGCAATTATATATAGATTATTTACAATGATGATTAGTCACAGAAACCATCCACTAAGGAGTTATCACTTAAATACATAACAACAGTAAATCTGAATAAAATTAATCGCATTTCTTATTATATGCTATTCAACACCCCTCCCACCAACGGGTCACCAAGCGACAAAGCTAAGAACAGGGGAGGGAGTTTATTGGGTCAAACTTAATCAAATGTGTATTCATTTGAAAATGAATTTATCCCTTGACCAATCACATGCATCTGTCATTCAGGAGATTTCTAATTGGTACATCATGGCTGTTGTGTCTTTAACCCCGTCTAGTTATCGCATGATTTATTCGTCAATCGAAATACGACTTATTCAATCGTAGTACTGTGCCAATCCAATGACATCCGATCGGTATGAGCAGCTTAGCCTTCTTATTGGTCCTTTGTTCTCCTAGCCCGTCCATTTGAGTCCAGAACGCCAATAATAAATAAACTGCACCATGCGAATCATTTATTTCAAACATACTTGATTTGTATACCAGTCATACTGACTGCAACACACCATGAAATAGGTAATAACATTTACACAAGATCAAGTCAAAAAGTGGCTGTGAACGTGAGAGACTAATCAATAAACTGAACATAAGAACAGTAAATCGTATAATAATAATCTATAGGTCAAAATGAAGCTTATAATAAGAGGAATACAGATATACACAGTCTAGTTATTGAACTATATATATGGTCGTGGATTAGTTGAAGTTAGACATAACACCGTTGGATGCCGGCTCAGTGGTCAAGTGCTCGCGCGCGAAACCAGTAGGTCCTGGGTTGGAATCTCGCAGGGGGCGAGGTCGTGGGTGCGCACTGCTGAGGAGTCCCATAATAGGACGAAGCGGCCTTCCAGTGATTCCAGGTTTTCCATGGTGGTCTAACTTCAACCGACTCATGATCTTAACCATTGATATATATAGTCCGTTAATAGTTCTCAGAAGTTACCCGTAATTCAATCTTCACAAGAATATAACAATGACCTTATTTGATGACTTTTGATTGGCTCACCTTGTCAGGATTGAAATTCAATGCCTAAGTTTCATACGGATGTCATCACTCTGATATCACCAAATGTACTTTACTAAGAAATGTGCAGTATAAATGTAAAAGAAGGCTTACTGTGTCTTGACGACAGAGCAAAATATGATATTAGTTAGTAAACTAAATGAAATAATTAAAGGAATATAAAGATCCTATAAACGAAGTGTTTGGAAAGTATACAGTAGTAATGTAAAAATACTTTCAAAGTTTGATAGTTTCATTTATTGTTTCATCATTTTATAACAAACATTTCAATATATTCTCTCTCCGTTCTAAATCTTTTTTTTTTCAATCAGTATCTAGGTGATTGGCGTCCTCAATCGTATATTTCGCAAATAGCTGGAACTGGTCATGTGTTTACAGCACCACTGATTCTAGGACAAGGTTTAATTGGTGAAATTCATCGTTCAATTGTTTTGAAATTAAGTAAAACAATTGAAAACAGGTAAGAAAACATAGGTTTATGTTTTTCTTTTTTTAAGAAAAATACTGCACCTGTTATAGTTTACTTAGACCTTAATCTCTTATCTTATTCCATGTGAAACTTATTTAATGTCTCGTCAAAAGATTATAAATGTTCACATTGGTGATGTAATTCATCCTGTATACATTTTTGTAGAGTAGTTTTCATTAAGAAGTAATATCACTGAACAACGATTATCAGTCATGGTGTAATAACCAATACCATAGTACTTACTTTACTTACTTACGCCTGTTACTCCTAGTGGAGCATAGGCCGCCGACCAGCATTCTCCGATACACTCTGTCCTGGGCCTTCTTTTCTAGTTCTATCCAATTCTTGTTCATACTTCTCGTATTTGTCTCCATTTCTCAGTGTAATGGGTTCTGTGGTCGTACCCTCCTCATTTGGCCTTGAGGATTTCAAGTGAGGGCTTGACATGTGACGCAGCTGGGTGCTTTCCTCAATGTGTGTCCTATCCACTTCCAGCTCTTCTTCCTGATTTCTTCCTCCACTTGGATCTGATTTGTTCTCTACCACAGTAGGTTGTTGCTAATAGTGTTAGGCCAACGGATCCGAAGTATTTTGCGTAGACAACTGTTAATAAACACCTATATCTTCTGGATAATGGCTTTCGTGGTTTTCCAGGTTTCGGCCCCATACAGTAAAACTGTCTTCACATTTGTATTGAAAATCCTGATTTTGGTGTTGGTAGACAGTTGTTTTGAGTTCCAGATGTTCTTCAGTTGTAAATATGCTGCTCTTGCTTTGCCGATCCGTGCCTTCATATCTGCATCAGATCCACCGTGTTCATCGATGATGCTGCCCAAATATGTAAAGGTTTGTACATCTTCCAAATCTTCTCCGTTAATTGTGATTGGATTGGTGCATGCTGTGTTCTACCGGAGAATCTTCATTTCCCTTTGTGTATATCGTTTTCTCCTGCATTTGTTGTTGTGTGTGCGATAGAGGAGCCAGGTCATCTGCGAAGTCTAGGTCGTCCAACTGCATCCTAGCTGTCCGCTGTATCCCGTGCTTCCCTTCAGATGTTGACGTGTTCATGATCCAGTCGATCACCAGGAGAAAGAGAAAGGGTGAGAGTAAGCAACCTTGCCTAACACCGGTCTTTACTTGGAACGACTTTGTTAACTGTCCTCCATGCACGACTTTGCAGTTTAATCCATCATAGGAATTCCGTATGATATTGACTATCTTCTGAGGCACGCCGTAGTGTCGAAGATGCTTTATCTTTGGTCTGATTCTATCGTTCAAATTACTATATGTTCGTTCGTCTAAATAATTAGACATCGTTTTCTTTTGATGGTATTATGCTCTCTAGGTTATATGGTTTAAATACGGAGCTTTTATTGTTCTTCTAGACATTATCATCGTCTACGTTACGCTTAATTAAGGTTTCCAGTTATTCCAAAAGTGTGTTATATTGATTTGTTCTGATGGATTCGTTTGTGATAGGTTGTCTTCGTAAACTTTGTTGTCTTTATATGTTCTTGTATTCGTGCTGATTTTTTTCGGTAGACCTTTTGTATATGTTGATATATTGGACTTATCGATGTATCTGTCGATTACTATCCTGTACACTATGTTTTAAAAAAGTGTTAATTAGAGTCAATCAATAGGAAGTCTTGAACCTAGGTTTCGTAATGATTGACACTAATCAGTCAGCTTGGGATATCTGTAGGCTTAAACAAACTGCTACTTCCCCTCTGACTTTAACAGGTTTCACCTGTAGATACTTACATAGTTTATGGAGACTAAAAAGGTCATTAGACTAATGGTTCTTCTTTGTTTGTCACTCAATAGTGTAAATATCGTACATTTACTGCACCTGTATTAAATGGTCCTTTTTTTCAAAATTTTCAGTTGGCGCATAAATTTCCTAAAAATGTTATGGGGGATTATCTATTTCTTCTCACTTATAATCGATTTAATGAATATCATGTGCAATGCTGTGTGCTTTAATAACTTGCTCATCATTACAGCCCCCAAATGCCCTGGTACGACCGAGAGTGAGGATAGTCAGCTTTCCCTCTCGAAATGCTCTCACGTGGCCACGTGCATACAACCACTACCAGGGAAGTCCTACTCACTGCCTTCTCGCGGCATTACTGTTGTTTACGACATTGAGAGGACGAAAAGCGAATGCCCGGCACTTTAACCCGATTGGTGGGCATGGAGAGTCCACTTAAGGGAGTTGGAAAACCCTGGATTCCAAACCAATTATGTTCATGGGCTCCAGTATCCTGAAGGAACAAATGGCGTATGAACCTATTGTTGATCACCAGCTACCATGAGACTGCATCTCCTTACGTTGTTCCACTGACATGTGGATCAGACCTTTAGGTCGAAGGCTCCGGGTGTGGCTCCCCAAGTAAACCATCTGCTTCTGTTTGGGCAGTCGGGCAGTATCCCGGCACTCGCACAAATCAAATGAGATTCGTGTGGCGCATATGTATGTGGTGCCTCCTTGTATGTTTATGTGTTTAAATAGATAAATAAAGTTTCTTCATAGGGTGATTCGTTTAAATTGGCTTGGATAAGTGAATGATTTAATTATCTTGCGCTGTTTATATCTGAATCTTCAAGGGTCTCGATTTCACAGTTGATTGACTTATCGCAGATGAATTCATACATTGTATTGAAATTCAAATAGTGATTGTATTGAAGAAATTTTGTAATACCCAGAACGATATTTAACACTAGGTTATGAAGTCTCTTACTATTTATCTGTATCATGTATGTAACTGATGATTTCCTTGTTCAAGTCAATTAAAACAAACTTTAATCATTGGCTAAATACTTTAGGGAATTCGTGATTTTCAAAGTAAATCGATTTTTATTATTCGATGTTTGATCTTTATCCTGTTACTAGTATAGGGTTGTGAAGATTTTTTGAATTTTGATTGAGATCACGAACCGATCAATGTTAGACCAATATTGAAAACCTGAAAGCACTGAACAGTTGTTTCGTCCTAGTATGGAACTCGTGTTGTTGTCGTCATCCTTTCAACTTACTAACTTATCATTATTTACACTACTTTAAACGTGTTTCTGTTGAATGCTACCGATTGCACTGATGTAAAATGTCATAATTCCAATCTTTATATGTTAGAATTTTCAGTTTGGTTTTGTTTTCTCTTTCACATATATATTTATGAATGTATTAAGCTTGTTTTTCTTTTTCACAAAAACCTTTTTTCCACACAGAGCAATTGCTCAAAATGATACTGTCCCATTGTCAGAAATTAATTCACCTAGATATTTGATCAAATTATTGGAATTAGTATTTGATGCTTTATTTATGCAAGCTAGAGCATGTCTTCTTGTTTTACGTACCTTGAATGGAGCTAAACAGGTGATAATTTTTTTTCTCGGTTTTCTTGCATTTTTTTGTTGGTTATCATTCATTTGGTTTATTTTAAATTTTATTTTACAAATTATTGATTGATGTCAAAGTTATATTATAACGGGAGAATAGGGATTTCATCGATGCTACGCTAGATACTAGGTATTCACCCACATGAGACACATTCTTGAATTCCAATCACCGATCAGTTACTAATAATAGCAATGGATAACGGTATAAATCTGGAGTGAAAACAGGGAAGACGCAAAGCCGTAGTTTACAAGATAAAACAATATATTATGTCTGTGACTTATACAGTTATGTCTGTTTATACTCAATAGCCAATCATGCCTTATGCTTGATAGACATATCACTTTCACACCTGGTTAACTATTGTATCTCGTTGATAAGTTGTGTAAGTTTTGTTGCATCCCACTTTTATTCAGTCGCAATCGGAAAATGAGGTTCTTTATCGAAGAAAAATATTTATGGTGAATAGAGCTGGGGTTTCGCAACTGAATAACTCGATTCTACAGATGGCGGTTTAATAAACTGTTATTATTTCTAATTATGTCACAACTGAGCATTCATTACAAATTTTATTAATCTCATTTGATAACGATTTATAGCCTCATCAGCTGATTTATAATTTCTTATCTAGGATCCTATGTTCAACATTTCATCATTTCTCACTTGTGTTGATTCCATTATATTCAAACAATTCTGTTTCAAGATATGAATATTTTAGTGTCTTATTGTTTACATAAATTAGTTTCAATACACTGTTGATCATATAAACAATCTTTGTTGATTATTTTCGCTTAGCATCCTTAAATACTTATTTTTATGCCATTCTTTCTCTTGCCAAGAAACATGTCAGGTTTTCAACAGAATTACAAGGTTTAACTACTCATTATATCTGGTCTTGTGTGCAATATGAAGTAAGTAAATAGCCGAATCATTTTCTTTTTGATCTGATTTTTGTCAGGTATGATATAAGAGGTTAAATAAAGCAGTAATAAATGAAAGCTTATATATGCGATTTGTACAATGAATGCACTATTTATATAGTGTAGAAAATAAATAACTGGGATCGTTTAGAGTATGATTTTAAGCTGTTTCAATGCGTTATTTACCCGTAGTTTCTTCAAATTTTCAGTGTCCACTATTTAAACAAGTATAATCAACAAACAGAAAAAAAAGACATTTTTAGTCAACTGACTACTGTTACAAAAAAATTAAATGGAATAACAGGTTAATTCGAATAATTATCTTAAATCCAAGTTAGTGATTTCTCAATCACCAGCATAGATTATGGCTATCATGTTGTTACAACATTTTGCACAGATAATACCACATTAGGAGATAGTTTTGTTGAGCGCTCAGAGGCAGTTGCCATGGGACCTTGAACCCTGCGTTTGCTTCAGGTTGGTATTCATCACAATAGGTTGTATCCACCATCTCGTATTAATTGTTTCTTCTTATTGAATTTAAATCCGAATCATTCAATGTCACAGTAAAATACATTATATGTTGGCGTTCATGCAATATTAAGTCAGTTGAGTAAATGGCCAAATTACAACTTAATTAGTAAGATTGAATATCTGTAATGAGTAGGCAGATAATTTTATCATTTTAAAACTCACTTCAATTGAAAACGTTTCTTATATTCCGGATCTCTTAGTTTTGGAAAACTTTAACTTTATCAATAAACTATTTGGTATTCAAGATACAGTTGTTCACATCATTTTCCATAAATTACACAATCAGTCAATAACAACGTAGAACTTCGTACGTACGTGCACAATAATCGTGCTTATTTCATTATTCTATTTTCTGTTATAGGTTTATTGTATTTTATTAACACATTTAAATAATATTTCACCAAGCGAATTAAATGAATTATCACTTTCATCAAATAAAAATGGTTTGCTTAAATTACAAGCACGAACTGGTAGAAACAGTATTGTTAGTGGAGGGGATATTACACCAGGAAGCGATAATTCCAGTGCTTCATTAGATCTGACAAAAGTGGATTTAAATGCATTAATGGGTCGTAAACGTATTGGAGCATTTAATTTTCCATCAATAACTACAAGTTCAAGTAATAGTAACAGTACTGCTGCTTCTTCTACTACCACTGCTGCCAATACTATTAATGCTAATTCTACCATTACTACTCCTGGAAATACTACTAATACACGAGATTCTCAGTCTGTTATTGGCACAATCTCAGGAAATGTTACGTCGAACCATATTGGTAATATTGGAAGTGGAAACTTCATTACTAATACAACTGCTGCTACTAATCAAGGTCAAAGTAATGCGCCATTATTTAGCTTTTCTAATTCATCACATTATCTTGGAATATCTACATATTTATCAGAAAGTCGTGCAATGGTAAGTCTACAAAGTGCATTGGGTTACTGTAATAACAGTTTAACTAAAACGGTTCACAAGAGTGATTCGAACGTGTGGTATGTTAAGTAATATTAGTGTCTGTTAGGAAAAATTCAAAAACCTAACATGCTTTTTGAGCAGTTAATTACATATCAGTAACTTAGTGAAAAACTCTCTCAAATTTGAATCACTTGTTTCTGAGTTCAACTTTTATTGTAAATATCAATGCTGTAGTCCAGATGTATCCAGTTGATAAATCAGAAATAAGACGAAATGTACTGTCTAGTTTACACTGCTATCTACTATACGAACCATTGTAAATGTTTGTTTTTAACTTATATCAAAATTCATATGGTTTTGTTTTCTCCATAAACACTAAATCAATTGTTAATTCATAACAATTGATTAATAATTTTAATAGTTGAGATCATGAGTCAGTTAAAACTAGACCACCATAGAAAACCTGGAAGCACTGGACGGCTGTTTTTCCACGGTGATCTAGCTTCAACTGACTCATGATCTAAACTATTAAAATTACTACAATCTCCACAAAATCCCTTCTGATTAATAATTCTTTGAAATCTGTAATTATGTAACTAGAATTTTATCTGTATTATTCCATGTTGTTTAAATGTTGGTCCATTCTTATTAGACAACAATGTAACTCAAATGCTAATTATTTGTAATGTATTAAATGAAATTTTATCAACAATAATCAATACTGAAAATACATGATAAAAGGTTATCAAGATTCATTCATTTGTAGATAGTAAACATGTCATGTGATAATAAGCACATTACATTTGAGCATCTTATTGTTCTGTATGTATTATACTGCTTCAAAGATACAGTGTTCATTATTCTCAACATGAAAAAAAATATAAATTAGTTGAAATGATCTATATTTAATTGTCTTGTATAGGTTCATTGATTGGTAATAAATAGTAACATTAGTATCAATTCTATTTGATATGAATGTTAGTTTCTGAAAACTCTAGGATTCGATTTAGTGTTAGGCGATTAAAAACAGTTCGTAAGATACCTTGGACCTAGGTTTCGTGCTAGCTGGAACTCATCATCAAGGCTTATTTGCAATTTTGAGGAAAATCGTACTTTCTGTTTGGTTTAACTCAGGTTACCTAGTTTCAAAGACTTAGATTTACTGGGGTCATAATTGAAGTCCTAGATTAGACTGAGTTATATGCATTAATTAATCACTGGATAGTGGCCAGTATTATGTGTATCTAGTCTTTCGTTTAATGCTCGAAATAATAAGCTCTCCGTCTATCATGAAAATCAATCCCATCACAATAATCTTTACTTTTTAATGCATTAAAATGGTTGTTTCTCAAGATGCTTTATTATAAGTAGTAAAGATAAACATAACTTTCACGAATTCTACAGACTTGTTTAATTCACAAAACCAATAAATTAAAATTTATTCTCAATTTTTACTGTTAACGGATTGTTTGCATTTAATTAAAAAACATTGAAGCAAACTTAGGTGAAGATTATGAAACCTGAAAGTTGTACCTCGTATCTTAAGATGAATATTTCTTAAGAGTCCCTGAATAAAGCAGGAAAATATAGATTAGCTACTACCTACACATTAGAGTACTAGCCTGTGAGATAGTCTTTCTACTCGAACACCAGTAGTTGAGTTAAAGGTCATGGGACACTGTCACCAGAATTAATATCATCAACTGTCGTTCGTTAGGGTTGTCCACTTTCCCTATTTTTATTTGAATTTACTATGGATATTTATTTTGAAATAACACTTTTGTCGTCTGACTTTTCTGGAACTGATCTCGTACAAGGCGATTCACGTGTTATGGACTTAAAATACCTATATGACAGTCTTGCTTGGTGAAGACGCTGACAGAATTCAAGGTCTCGTGATCGCCTTGGTCAATTGTGCTAGGATGTTTGACATGCTTTTCTCTCCCTCCAAGTCCAAAATGTCTCTTCGGGATTGATGTGCCTATTCCTAAACTGATGATAGATAATAAAGTAATTGAACGCAGCAACCGCGTCACTTCTTTGGAAGTTTCATTATGTCTGATGAGCTAATATCAAATGAAATTTCGACACGGATTAAAGAAGCGCGATTGGGTTTTTCCAAATTACGTTATTGTGGTGTCGGCGAGATATATCTGACAACTGAAAGACGGGTTTACTGCGCAGCAGTTCATTCTGTTCTTTATTCATGTGATACATGACCGACCTTTAAAAATCCTACTAATCTAACATTTTTCTTGATAATTTTAAATTCCCACGCCAATGTGGTCCGGTAACTTGAACCGATGCATATATATATGGCAGGCTCCACGTTGCTGCCTAGTTTCAGCTCATCAACTAAATGGAACACCAACTATATAGTTCAATCAAACAAAACCTTTTTAATTCATAGTTCTTAATCTACATTTATTTATCCAAAATCTTTAACTTGACTATTTTCTATTTTGATTTGTTTTTTCTAATCAGTCAGGTTTACCAGGTGTTGAGACTCAATCTGGACAAAATCTCACAGAGAAATCAGCTCCAATTTACCCGTTAGCTTGTCGACCATCTGGTGATAATATATTAAGTGTATACAAAATGGTTATGGAATTCATTGAAGCTGTTGAATGGGAAATGATCAAATATACTGAATTTTCTGATCTACATTCTGTGTCCTCTACTCCTTCGTAAGTTTGAATTATTGTTCTTCTACATTATATTAGTTTTGCACTAATTGGTGGTCTGTTCTTTTATATAGATGTATCTTTTTGATTGATAGAAATAAGGTAATGAGTCTAAAGGGGATTAGGCAACGGAACACCTGGATGAACATCTGTATAGCAGGGAATATCTGCTTGACTGTCAAAGAGGAAGGTCTTCTGCCCGAAAGCTTATTCAATATTATTTAGCAGTTTCAAAAATTTTTTATTGAAGTTAGAAGATAAGCATAGTTTACAAGTCTACGACAACTAATGGAGCAATCGATTTTCTAATACAAATACTAGGTGTATATTGTTCTGCAAAGATAATAAGCTAACTACTGAAGTGGTGAAATATCGTAGGGTGAATTTGTTCAAATATGCATAATGTATGTCCAATTACCGTATACTGACTGTAATAGGAGTACATTAGAAACCGTTTGAGGGTTTTCAAAGCAAAATCATGACAGCAATTCATGGTCTCTTTGAGTGTTGATGAGAGATCCTTAGACTACTGATAGATTATTGAGTTATAATATGTGAAATAAATGTAATCATTGGTTGAAGATTTTTGATCACATAGACTAAATTCAATCTTAATTATATAGTTGTAGTCCATCTTTACCAATTTCTTTATCTTCTGAATGTTCTAGTATTCAATTGCTTCATTTGTTTTTAGTCCACATTTTTGTTTACGTTAATTCCAAAAGGTTCGGTTGTGATACCCAATATCCGAGATTGTGTACTAATACATTATCTTTCTATACGCGAACCTGACTACTCCGAAGAAAATACGAAGAGTGAGAAAAGAATGATACATTTTTGAAATGATGTAACTGTCTCTGAACTAATAATCAAGTGTTTAAAAAAAATCAGAATGCTTCTGTAACCTAATCAATATGGGGCGATTAAATGGTTAACTCCATGTTGCACCTCGTAATCTCTAAAAAATATTTTTCTAATGTTTTTTTTATTTCACTTTCAGTGATACAGGCAATGATTACCGTCAACAATGTCAATTACGTACATTACTCAAAAGTTTCATTGAAACTATTTATCTACCTGGAAAACTTTCTTCTTTACGTAATAAACTTCAGAAATCACTTAATTGTAAGTTTACTGTTTTCATATTGTTCTTGTGCCAGTGTAAGTTGATTCAATTTCTTGTGATATTCTTGTTATATATAATACTTAATCGATAGATCTGAATCAGGAATGAAGGAGTAGACAAATATAATATTGGTCATTATTTAACAATCAATGAATTCTAAATATCTCAGTTCTGACAGGAGTTCAGTCAACGCCCAACTGACTCATTGGTGACATCTCGAAATGTGAAGCTAAGTGATGCAGGCTTAAATCAGTTCCTTCAAGTTCACTGACCTGTGCTAACTAACACAAAATTGGAGGTTCAAGGTTTTCTTCTAACCATCTAATACCTTACTTTACTTGGTTTTACAATGTTTTTGTCAGTCGTTAAGCCAATATGACACAGTCATTTTAGAAGGACACCACAACACGTAACACGGCTAATTTTTATCAGTAAGCATCAAGCAAACGCTTAGATACTCATGAAATATGCTTCGAACTCTTTCATGAATGACAAGCATATATACATGTAATTTTACGTGGTTTCTTATTTTGCATTCATTGGAAGGAAAAGTATCAACATGCTCTTTTGGTTGTCACCGCTAAAATTTTTCAAACCAATCTTCTCTACGTTAAATCAACCATTCTATCGATATTTTGAGATTAATCCCAAGTTGTGATTGATACCTATATAACCACTGTAGTATGCCGGGGCTACATACAGACTTTCATGATATTATCTTAGCAAATTACTCACTCGGAAAGTGATCAGACTAATATTGTATGGTCTACAGTAAAATATAAACTCGTTTGATTTTCTGCAAACGTTAGTATTTCAAAGAACTAATTATTTAATTGTGGAGAGTCCGTCTGGTTTCATTTATTTCTAAGAGTAATAGTGAAAGAGCTGGAGTTGAACTTCCATCAGAGGCATGTTAGCAGTTATCATTACTCTGTTTAGTGATGTTTATTATTGATGGACTTAAAAGGGAAGCTAGGTGAGTAGTGATTTTTTTCAACCTGAGATCGTGACTGCACAAAGAATAACTGGTTGGTATCTGATATGAATCACCTTTTCGTGAGTAGTTTCAGATATGATAACTCTATACTTTAAGAACCTTACCATAAACACCAGAAGTCTATGATGAAACATAGTGTTTTGTTTTAAGGATCGATTTTTCTAACCTCTTTATGTTGTGGTAAGGCAGTATCGTTTGAGAGTTTGGTCATTTATGAGGTAAACCTTACTTTCCAACATACCTCAGTATATAATTCATTGAGATTCCTCCTTCGGGTCTTAAATTCAGTGCTTTTGTTCTCATCGATCTCTAAACAAATCTTTGAACCTTAAAGAACAAGTGTTCCAGCTGATGTACCCCGCCTAGTTCGTCAAAAAAACCAACCTTGACCATCGCGTCAAGGAAGCAGCTAAAAGCTAAGAATTCAATACTGAGTTTAGTTTTATTTTGTCTGAACTTTAAAGAATCATTGGATCTTCTAAAACTCATTTGTGTTCTAAACTCGGATTTAATATTTTTTTAACTGTCACAGCGCCAGACGTTTTAACATCTGTTGTATCTCAACAAACTGAACGTGAACTGAATCTTAATAGACCGATTCTTTTAGTAAGTACTTTCTCATTCTATTCAACATTGTTTTCGCTGTATTTTTTTTTCGATCACGAACATATTCATATGTATTACATAAACTAAATTTTATATTGCACTCATTAAACGATTAGATGCATGATATTTTCCGATTAATTGTGAACAATATGATTTTAAGTTGTCTAAATAAACTCAAATTGACTTTCATCGAATCGCCATTTAGTTATTCAATTATCTGACTTTCAACAAGCTTAAGTTCACTATTGCGTTAAGCGTATCTTATTCATTTGTGAATATAAACCCAACCATGTAACTATTTTCACCACTTCATCGAAGGATCTATTGAAAGTACTGTGTGAACCTGACCAAAGTCTATATTACATTGTTTTGCAACAAATGCAAAGGATGGGACAAATATATCTTGCAAGTTACATATATCTGACTATCTATTCATCTTTCTGGAAAGTTCAATTAATTACCGTTTATTTTTTAGCTAGGCAATGCACAGTATTTAAGTCATGTGTTTCTTACTAAAAATTTACTAGATATCATGATGAAAACTGTAAACCATTGAAAACTGAGAACATTTGACAGTTATTTTGTCTTAGTTTGCAACTCTTCAGGCAATGGAACACTCATGATACTATATAGGATCAAGTTTAAGACTTTCAGATCTCGGTGTGTGAGGTTGACCCTATAGGCTAAGCCGTGTAAGTAGGTGCAGACTACCTGGTTGTGATCTGCGCAGTTGTCGTAACCAATTGCTGGAAATATTGACTGATATCGATCAAAATAGGTCGCAATGACGTGTAACCCTTGAATAATATTTTCTATGCTTTACATATCTTACTATCACTGACATTGTTGCTACTTCTGTTACTCTGGTTTTTCTCTTCACAGTTTTATTTTTGTACTAATGTCTTGTGGTAACTTAAACTGATTCAAGTGTGTCAGTTTTTCCAGTCGTTATTACTGACTAACTGACTGAGCCTATAAAATACTAATAGTAACATGTTCATACCACAAACTTTGGTGTCTTTAGCTTGCTTTTCGATAAAGTTTTTGGCACGTGTCTGCTAAGGATTCTCATGTTTCACCGAAACTCCTATCTAGTGTTCGATAATTCCCCATTTGATATAAATCGTCATGAAAAAAAACTCAGCTTCAACTAGTTTCCTGATTGTTAGTGAACACGATGAGCTTCAACCTAATACGATAAAATAGTGGTCACCTACTTTCAAATATTCCTTATTTTTTTGAATACTTTATGAATAATTATCAGTATAGTTTACTGTAAATTTTTGAATAATGGTGTTAGTGAAATATCTTTCACTTAATATTGGTGTTTGTTTTGTGACAACCTAGATATTTTATATGAAACTGTGATAATACTGAAAATGTTTACTTTCTTTTTTTTTATTATATAAATAGATCGTTTACGTCGTGGATCAGTGTTTAAATGAAGTAAGAAAAATGTGTATCGCTTTACCAGAATTTGCAAGTGGTTGTCTACACATTGGTCTAACAATTTTAGAAGATTTTATCACTGCTATATGGAGGATTTATAAAAGTAGGTTGTAGTTGTAAATCACTCAGTTATAGAATGATTTGTATAAATTTATGTACAGCTGATTAGAATCAAAACACTGTGATATATATATATATATATATATATATATATATATATATATATATATATATATATATATAATTTTAGTTTGTGAATTAGTACTAAAGCTTAAAGCTGCCAAACTAAGACAATATAGCAATCCATGAAGTCATTGACTGTTGGTCTGAATCATATCAGATTGTAGTGTACACGATAATCGTGAGCAATCTTTGGGGAATTCAGTTGGTGACGTGACTTGAAACCAGTTTCAGTGAATTAGTTACATTTATTCTCTGTTATCTCGTAAATTCCATTGGTTACTTTTTTGAATTGTATTTTTTGTTTGAATTTTCTAACCATCATATTGCTTTACATTAATTGATAATTGATTCGCTACCATCATGTTTTTCTAGTTCTCAATACTGATCAAATTCCACTGATAACTTCGCGATATGATCACTAGTCTAATTGAATCAATATCACTTGCACCATGTTTTAATATTTAGTGACTGGAGGTAGTCAGCAGGGAACTCTCCATTCATTAATTAATCAGTTGTAAATACCTCAGTCCGATTGAAGAGCAGTCACAACACAAAATACTCAATAGTATTATTTGAAACTGTGGGACTAGGTGATATCAGTTCGAATTTATCAAGGAGAATCAGTTTCTTCGAGATTGTAGGTATGGCTTCCTGACAAGTTTTAGTTTGCTCCAAGCCTAGATCAAGAGTTTGCTGCAAACTGTCTCCAATCAGCTCACATTATATCACTTCTACATCATTGCAATTCGTCTTGTTAGTTCTTTTTTCACTATGCTGGTGTATTACGTTATCTCTAGGTTCTCTTATGTTGTCGATGACTAAACTGTTGATCTGATAACATAAAACTGAGACAAGACGAAAAATACCCAGTTTAACCTAGTCAAACAGTTAATTGTTATATTAACCAACAACAATAAAGTTACAGTTTACTAAATCAACAAAATACAAAGCAATTGTATCAAGAAAAATCACAGCTACTCATCAATAAAATATATTTGTCTCATGTAAATCTCACAAATGGTTCCTATGTCAAGAGAAATAGTTTTAAAGCTAGTCGAGCTTGTCAATCAATATTGACTTCAATAGAGTAATGAGATGACGGAGTTGATCTGAAAAATGTGATACATTTATGGTATATATTTCGAACAAACTGGTCTCATATGTACTTGTCAGGACATTTTGTATGGAAATTAATAAACGTCAATTAAATGAAAGTTCAAGTAAAAAATGTTTCTCTCCCCTTTGTTACCTTTTTTGCTTGAACTTTCATTCAATTGACCTTTATTAATTCTCATATAAAATGTCCTGACAAGTATATGTGTGACCAGATTGTTCGAAATGTATGGCGCCAATACATCAAAATTTATAAAAAGGATTAATTGCTTTAAACTCAATATTGAGTTGTGTGTCACTCATCATATTGTTATATTTTCCAAGACCAATACTAAAATAACTCGCAGAATACACTACTTTTCATTCTTTTTTTTTGTTTCATTTTATATTTATGAAAACGTAAAAGTCTCACATATACTCCATGTAAATTAAAACTGGAGGTAGTTTAATACACATTATCGAATTTGGAATTCATTCACAACCTTTGTTTTTTCATTTTTTTCATCATTAAAAATCATATTATGGGGGCGACAAGATGGGGTGGTACGGGATTATGATCAATTGTTCCTTATGCTACATTGAGGTCTTCCTAAAAAGTTTTTTTCTGTTTATCTTCTTTATTTGAATGATAAGTAGAGAATTTTATAATCTGTTTACTTTATTTGTCTAACAAACATGTGAATATATATGTATAATAGGTATATACCTGATGTCTGTATGCAAGTTGATTAAATCTGTCGTTCTGTTACTTTCTACTGAACAACAATTGCATGCTAGTAGTATATATATAGTCAGTAGTACTAGACGAACTAGAGTTGTATTGTTAGTTTTTGTTTTCTATTAACTGAAGTGATTTTTTTATCTATATGTATGTATTATAAAGAAAAATGAAACAGGCAGGTAGTATAGTCGCCTTCCTTTATCTTTCTGAATGTTGTTTTTTTTGTTTCTCAATAAAAGAAACTTATTCGTGTTCATGTGTGTGTGTGTGTGTAAATTTTCACTGATATCATTTTATTAGAATAAGTTTGCTTTTTTTAAACAAAAAGGTGGTCTAGCCTAGATCGACTCATAATTTTAACTGTGAAAATTATATTTATATTGATAATTGTAACTTTAGGTTGATGAGAAACTCTTGAAATAGACTGATGGATTCATTTTATTCTACAAACCTTGTTGTTCTTTCTGTTTAAATTTATCAAGAGATTTGATTGTATAAAAAGTTATATTGAAACTTAGAGAAGAACCAACGATGGAAAGGAATTCATAATATCATATAGTGTCTTACATTTAACATAGCTTAGTGTTTACTTGTCTTCACTCACTGGCTAATCACATCTTAATTCCAATAGCAAGTTGACTTAAACTAACTAAACTTTCAGAATCTGTGTCAACATAAAACACTGTACAAAAGGATCTGATTGTACACTTTCTAAACTATATTAATTGGTAATATCTATCTATGATCCATATAGTTTTGTTAAGACTTGTAAAACTTTGTCATTTCAAATGACGGCGAACAGTGTTGACCCGTATAACTTTTTAACTGTTATCATTTTTGTTCAATGAAAACAACTCGACCGTACAGTAGTTTAGTCTAAATTACTTATCATTTTAATTCGTACATATTCGTTACATATTAATTTAGTCGTTTATATTATTTCAAACTGTTTGATTTGTCTATTAAAACAATTCTAAGTGTTGTTTCAATTAAATGAGTTCTTTATTATTTTTTATTTTATTGGCACTCTAGATATAGGTGAACTTGAAACAGGTCTTGCTTTGCCAAGTTCTGAATGGTCAAAAGATGATGATGTTAGTCGATTTTGGAAGTAAGTTTTTAATTCTTTTTGAGCAGATTAGTTACATTATTATATCGTTATGTATTTTTAAGGAAGTTTACATTCTTGTTATAACTACAGTTCTATTACTAATACTTGTTAACTGATAACCATTGGAATTTCTACGACACAAACAATGAGTATGGAGGATTGGTGCAAATGCAAATTTTATTGATCATCCAAAACACTTTATTTTTAACCAAAAATACACTTTTGTATACTGATTTGTTGCACACGCCTAGTGATATCACATATGGGAAAAAACATGTTAAATGTAGTTCACACTTAATTGACACAGAGAATGTAAATCTTACGCTGAAAAACGAAAACTAATTTTACACTGAAACTATTAAGATTTACCTCACTTTTTTCATCTGTCTTACTAATCATGGATTGATTTCGGCTAGAGATATCTGTTTATAACTTGAAAGTCATTGATTAACTGTTTTGTGAAAGTTTGAAACTGCTCTCAGTAGTTCGGATCAACAATCTTGTCAGAGATGGATACTTGAACCAGATAATTTATCTTTGATCCAAACTATCTTCGAGTTGAAAAATCTTCATGATTATCCTACCAATTATTTTATGATATAACCTAAGAGGAGAGGGCTTGTATTACTTCGAAAATAATCCATTATTGTTTGAACGTACTTTACAAATTACCAATTATCTTAAGTACTGGAGTTAAAACTATTTAGTTTATTGACTGATGTCAACTTTATTCGAATGGAATAATAATAATGACTTAAGGATTAAAGTACCTGACTATCAAAATTAAGTCCCTAGTTCAAATCCACTTCCAATTACTGCAATTTGAACAGCCGGGTGGTATCATTAATATTTACACAAGAGTATAAGCATGTATTTGGTAGATAAATTATTATTTGGATTATGTTAATAACTACTATACAATTTAAGTATCAATGCCAAGGTTGAACTTGATAGTTTCAAACAAACTGATCATTGGGTACTTACTTACTTACGCCTGTTACTCCTAGTGGAGGAGCATAGGCCACCCATCAGCACTCTTCATCCAACCCTGTCTTGTGCAATCCTTTCCAGCTCTTTCCATTTGTTATTCATCCTTTTCATATCTGCCTCTTTCCCGACGTAATGTGTTCTTTGGCCTTCCTCTTTTCCGCTTGCTCTCAGGATTCCAAGTTAGGACTTGCCTTGTGATGCAGTTTGATGATTTGCGTAATGTATATCCTATCCATTTCTATCGTCTTTTCCTAATTTCCTCTTCAGCTGGAAGCTGATTCGTTCTCTCCCACAGAAGGCTGTTGCTGATGGTATCCAGCTAATAGATGTTGGGTATCTTGCGTAGACAACTATTTATAAATACTTATACCTTTTTGATGATGGTTTTATTCGTTCTCTAAGTTTCAGTTGCTTACATTAGAACTGTCTTGACGTTCGTATTGAAGATCCTGACTTTGATACTGGTTGACAGTTGTTTTGAGTTCCATATGTTCTTCAATTGTAGGAATGCGGCCCTTGCTAATCATTGAGTAGAAAGTTAATAATAAATGTATTTTTCGTTATATCTTGATGAGTGGAAAATAGTATTTTTGACATTTCGTGATTTAATGTAAGCCACTTCTTCAGAGTAAATAAATTACTGATATCGGTTATCATTGGGATATAGATATTATTACAATACATTTGGTTATTGTTGTCTTGTTGTAGTATAGTTTATATTAATTAGTTACTAAAAAGTAACTCATATACAATTTTCATTTCACTTTTCGTTTCTTTTTTTTTTTGCAATAGAAAATTCCCATCATGGCAACGTATGGCTACACATGAAGCACGTTTATTAGCTAATAATACAATAATGGAGAAATCATTGGCTAAGAAAAAAACACACGAAACAAATTATAATCATGATAATAAAATAATGAATACAAATTCATTTAATGATATACAAATAAAACGATTAGAAGAAAAAGAAGAAATTGAAAAATTAAATTCTAAAGAGAAAATAAATGAAAGTGATACAATTATTAAACCAGTTTGTGCAATTGCTTTAGGCTTATATAATAATGATACAATTGGTTGTAATAATATTAATATACCAAGTATAATACCATTTGCTAATGGATTAAATAATAATTCCGATAATATAGATGATGCAGAGAGAGGTTTAGAATATATGGTATGTTATAATCAATGGAACTACTTTGTTTGTTTGTTCTTCTTTTTTTTTTGTCTTTTTGAAGTCGTTTTTCTTTTTTTTTCATTTTATAAAAGTGAAAAATGATTATCATCATAAACTAATGTGAGGTGGATTGAACTCTTTTGAAAAATCTAAGTAGATTATATATGGATCTTGTTTGAATTATATAAAACTTTTCAAAATGTTGCTTCAGGATTGCGTTGCATCGACACCCGAACTAGTGATAGGAAGTGAAGTAGTTGAGCGTGTCGACCGCTTCACTTATCTTGGAAGTCTCATCAGCCCTTGTGGTCTGGTGTGTGACGAAATCTCAGCACGGATACAAAAGGCTCGACTAGCTTTTGCCAACTTGCGTCATTTGTGGCGTAGGTGAGATATCCGTCTATCAACCAAAGGACGTGTTTACTGCGCAGCAGTTCATTCCGTCCTACTTTATGGCAGTGAAACATGGCCAGTAAGAGTAGAGGATATTCGTAGGTTACTAGTATTTGATCACAGGTGTCTTCGAAACATTGCTCGTATATCCTGGGACCACCGAGTAAGTAACTCAGTTGTTAGGAAACGGGTACTAGGTAAGGATGGCAAATCAATTGCTGAAGTAGTGAAACTTAATCAGTTGAGATGGCTGGGACATATGTTGCGCATGCCCGACCACCGACTCCCCCGACACGCGATGTTTTTTGATGTAGGAGTAGGATGGAAGAAAGCTAGGGGCGGCCAGAACAAAACATGGCACAAATCCATCAAGCCACTGACAAGTGAACTGAGCCATGTTGGTAGGTGTAGACTACTTGGTTGGGGACCGCGAGATGATAACAACCGATGGTTAGAGACCTTGAATGACATGGCTCAAAATCGTTTGCAATGGCGCAGGTGCATCCGTTCTCTGTGTTCTCTCAAACTCTAATCTTCTGAATTTTTCATGTCCTTTATTTTCTTTCCGAATCTATTCCACTTGACTATACTCCTTAAATAACATCATTAAACCTTAATGTTCCCTATCACTACTAATACTTTCACTACCTCTACTACTACGGGATTTGAATCGATAACTGAATCTCTGTGCTAATGTGGTATGGCAACTCGAACTGATGTACGTACATACGAAGTTCCACGTTGTTACTGACTGAATGACTTTCAGATGTATACACTCAATGGGTGTAATAATTCAGTAGTTAAGAGGATTGACTACTAGATCATATATTTGAACCTCGTTCCACTTGTAGCAAATAGTACTATTGTACCCTTACATGATTTATTCTTACTTTTGAACAAACAACTTAATCGAATCTTTTTAAGTTATTATGTATACATATATTTTACCTTGACAATTACTCACTTGTTTAGTTAATCGTTTTTCTGTGTATATTTCTGTGTTCATGTTTGTTTATCACTTATTCCATTCTTCACATATCTTTTAGCTTGCTTTTCCTGTCTAAGTATAAGTGTTGAGTCACGCTTCATAAAATTTAGTAGTCTAGGTAACCTTTCTCTATGTTCCACTCCCAACAGTCAGTTGAAATAGATGAATACCTGAAATAACTTCTGTTAACTCAATTTGTATTTGACTTCTATTACCACCGTTGCTCAACGGAGTCTGTCTAAATATAATATGTCAAATTAAACAGGGAATGTATATCCCATGATTCATTTGTTTGTTCAGTCTGTCTAATTGGTTTGTTGGAGGACAAGCTTGCTTGCGATAAACCTTATCTAATAATACTTTGTGTTGTGACCTAATTATTATTACATTGAAGTGAAACGCAATCGAAAAGATGTTTGCGTCAATTAACAGTACGGAGATAGTCCGGATAAATTGATAATAAGGAGCTCACAATCGGATACTAAACAATTCACACGTGAGATTGAAGTTCCTGGGTTCAGTCCCGCATACAGGTGCGTGGACACGCACTGATGAGAAGTCCCATACTGGCACGAAATGGATGTCCAGTGCCTCCAGGTTTTCAGTAGTGCTTTGGCTTAGGTCGGTTATTTATCTCAACCATGAAAGTTCCCGAAACCTTCACAACCCATTAGTGACAATTGCCTTCAGTCTTGACAATCAAGTACCACTACTAGTTGTCTGACTTAGGATGTGGCTCGAGCCAAGTAGGTTTATCTGGTTAATCGGTAAATAAAACAGTGAGTGTGCACTCAAAAACTCGTATGCGACCAAATCACCGATGATTTCCATGTCTTGCAGCATGCTTGCTTACGCCTGCTACTCCCAATGGAAAATACGATGCCGGCCAGTATTCTTCAACTCACTCTGTCCTGGGCCTTCCTTTCTAGTTCTGTCCAATTCTTGTTCATTCTTCTCATGTCTGTTTCCATTTCTTGGCGTAATGTGTTCTTTGGTCTTTCTCTTTTCCTTTGACCTTGAGGATTCCATGTGAGGGCTTGCCAAGTGACGCAGTTGGGTGCTTTCCTCAATGTGTGTCCTATCCACTTCCAGCGCTTCTTCTTGATTTCTTCCTCCGCCTTGCAGTATACACGATACCTTAATTTTATTTTTTAGGTTTTCTTCGTTTTCTTTACTCTAGCTGTTACTACTTATTTAATATAGGGAATTGTAGAACTTGTTAAATTTTTTAGTTTTACAGTACTCTTTAGCAGTAATTCTTAAAGTTCTAGTGAGATGCAGTGACCAGTGAATTCCAACCATGTAGAGTGTGAGATAAATATCGCCACATTCATTGGTCACGAATTGATTGGCGTTATCATTGTAAACCTCTCGACTTCAACTATGTCTTGTGAAGGTTAAGTCATCATATCGTAGTCGGCAGGTTCTAGGTCTGACCTCCGTCATGAATATGAACCGTTTACAAGTCCCATACTTGAACGAAATAGTTGTTTAATACCTCCTGGTTTTCAAACAATTGTCTAACTCAAGCCAGCCTCTTGATGTATAACTGCTTTTTGAATAGTACTTGACTAATTTTCATTTAAGCGTTTGGATGGTGATATATTGCACCTAACCCTCAGATTTAAAATGTAAACCACAACCGAGTACATTAACCTATACCTAGTAAATTAATTATATTATAATTAGTAATATTAGTATTTTAACTAACTCTCATTTTTATAATACGGTGCTGTAAATGAGTAACTATTATTGTGTCTAACTTGTTGAATGTGTATTCACTGCTATTTTATACATATTTATTTTTGTACAAAAAAATTTACAGCGTTTACATGGAATAATTCATGAACGTGAAGCGACAAGATTAGCTGTTGCTGAAACTGACCAATTAATTCATATGATAAGACATGAACTACCCGAATGTGAGAAAAAATCTGATCAAATTTTACCTACATTACGAAATATTCAATTAATTAAAGCATTGGGTCGATTAACTGAATCATTGGTAAGTTAGTCAAATTAGACAAAGTAATCTATTTTAAAATTATTAGACTTGGTAATTTACAGATAAATATAAGTAAGTGAGATGTCTATCTAGTGACACAAAGGGGCTAGCAAACTTTACATCTATTCCCTCTATGAAAATAGAAAACATGTGTTGACTGGAGGTTTTAAAATCATAAATCTCTTTGAAGCATTACCCATGAATCATGGAACAGTCTACTAAGTAACTTGGGCTAAGCCACATTGAACCCAGGGTCTACGTTGATTATAACTAAAGTATAGAGAACATAAGACCTGAAGAAAATGTATATCATTTATCACATCTTTAATCACTCAATAAGTCTAGGCATCAAGTTAGTACTGTTGAATGTTACTCATTTACCATATATGGATTTATGTATTTGGTGATATTTACCGTCTAGACCAATCCCTAAGAAGTCGAAACGAGGCTTGTACTTGTGATCTATTTTTTAAAAGCTAGTTAGCATCATTAAATGTCATATTATGTCTACTTTATATATATCTAGGTCACAAACTTTTACGCAGTTTTTAAATTAATCCTTGATTTTCCCTTTTTTTAATAATGGCTAGACTTCTCTGAATACTTCCAAATATACATATTTTCTGTAAATAAGCTAGTTTTCTTGAAATAATTGTATGAAACATCGTGAAGCGTTATTAGTGCACACTTTTGGATGCGTCACAGAGTTTAACTCAATCACACGTATATACACATCGTTGACGAGTTCTAAGTGTAACTACTTATAACAACTCACTGTTTCCTAGTAGCGTACTATAATAACTTATCTATCTGCAGACATGTATTTTAAGTGACATTTTCATATAGACTGTATATTAATGTCAAAGTAAATGAAAACTTCTATCATTGAAAGATTTTAATGCTTTTAAATAATATGTTTCTCTTGCCCATAACCTCTTTATCTTATTTCTGCATTGTTAATTGTGTGATTGAACAAATTATCAAAGTTACTAAGTCATTTGACTCGTTGTGGGGTGTTTCCCAAATGTTGAGTTTTTTTTATCTTGTTACGAATTTTTAAATTTAATAGTTAAACATATAGATATATATACATCTTGATTATGATACAATTTAACTGTGTAGATTCATTAACAGTATAATATACAGCTGGTGACATTGAAAACGTTTACCTATAAAGAGTCATAAGAAAATATTGATTGAGATCATTAACGAATCACTGTTAGACTACCATTGAAAAGCTGGAAGCACTGGATGGCTGTTTCGTCCAACATGGAACTCATCAGTGTGCATTCACGATCCCACATGCGAGATAACAAACCGGGACCTTCGATCTCGCTCACGAGCGCTTAACCTCTAGCTGGCATCTAACAGTGTTAATGTCTAATTTCAATCGATTCATGATCTTGCACAACCCTTCTTGCATTGTCTTCAGTGTGTAACTGCCTCACACCAGATCGAAGGTTCAGAGTTCGAATCTTGCGTGAGGGATCGTGGATGTGCAATGCTGAGGAGTCCTATACTGAGACGAAATGGCCAGTGCTTCCAGGCTTTTATTAGTGATCTAACACTGATCCATTCATGATCTTAATCAAAACTAATCAATCTCCACAACCCTAAACTGATGATAAAAGTATTTAGCACTTTATTGTAGTAGTCAATTATTATTCCGTTAATACAACGAGAAGATAGTTTTTCAGAATTTTGTGTGATTATATTATCACCATACATTTTGAACAATAATCTAACCACATATTTATATGTTAAGACACTTGTTTAAAAAAAATACAAGTTCTAACTAAACTAATTGAAATATAGGAACAACTAAGGTAATAAGGAGAGATAATCTGAATCATACAACTCCAGATAATAAATTAATATTACTACCAACTAAAGTGTAATGTTTATTTGTTCCTGTCGACACATAGTTAGTGGTTTCAACGAACCTTAGCGTTGGTATGTGGTTGTAGAGATAGTTGAATGTTACTGAAATCACGGAACAACTTAAATTAGCAAGTTATTAGAAACATGAAAGCACTGGATAGCCGTTTTGCTCTAGATTGGAGCTCTTTAGCAATGCTCATCTAACACCATGTAATCGGAAATCGAAACCAAGTACTTCGGCTTTGAGCTCAAATACTTAACCTCTAGGGCACTGAGTTAGGATGTAGTAGTGCACAAGTCTAACTGCCATTAGTCCTATGTGTATTCATTCTAGACAACATTTTATAAAAGACGATCATATTTATATTTACATATTCATTTTTCTATTTTCCAATATGTACTTCTTTTTTTTTAGTGTTGGCTCTGTTATCGTGTACTGAATTTAGACACATGGACTCAAGGTTCAAAAAAATATCAAATAAAATCTTCTGTATCTATTAATATTAATAGAAGCGAATCAGTAGTTGATGGAATACGTACATCTTCTGATTATTATTATAATTCGTTTGTTTCTTATGCAAAAGAATTAAATCGTTTCTCAGAAGCATGTCTTTTAATGACTTATTTAGAAGTAAGAATACAGGCATATAACTATTTCGGTACATTACCTGATGGTGTTACCTATTGGTGTCCATTAGACGATGTTGATGTTGATAAATATGTGACAGATTTTCTTGGATATATTGAACAAGTTAAAGATTTATCGATACATACATTTAGTCGGCATAAATTTCGGTAAGTCGTACTGTAGTAAACATGAAAACTCATATGGGTAAAACCAATTTATTGTTTTGCTCATAATTACGCGTTACTGTCGTATAATATGAATACCATACATTAAATTCATTATTTGCACATCTTCCTTCAGTTGTCCTATCCATACTTCGTTCTTCCAATTCGATTATTATTCCGATTCCTCTCTCTTTCCCTCCCTTTTCTTTTTATTTCAATCTTCTGCTAACAGGCAGTCCACTTCCGATTGGTGCTAATTACTACTTATATCTGTCTGCATAAGTAGCATGCACCATGTGCTTCCTTAATATTAATTTATATTATTTTTTCCTGATTGGATAATGTACTGTTGTTCTTGTTGTATATTGTCTGTTTTGGCCATAAATACTAAGCTGATTGTAGGATTAGTAATACTGTTATTGGTGTATTCAAAACTACATGTGTTGTGACGCGCAGTGTTAGAGACTTCGTACTGATATACACTTTTTCTACACAAAATTCTGGCTACTAAAAATAAGAGATATAGAGGGAGAAAGAACGTTTATTTGGCTAAATTAAATCCATTGTATCTGTAGTCCTTTTTATATATTTATATATGTCGTATAACTTGCAAGTGAGAACTATTTTATAACCAATTACATCCACTTATGATTCGGCGTGTCTTCATTGGTTTACTGTCAAAGAACTTGTTTATTTAAATTCTAGGTGAATATAATGTTCTATAAATCTCAGGTGTTTCAATCTTTTTCAGTTGACTTGATTAGTTTTCGAATACATCAAAATTCTACCGAATTTGCTATTTTTGGGCATATTTACCCTAACTTGGTTTTGTCCCCTACTCTAGTATATGTTACTGTTTTTACATGTGTTGTTTTGAGCAACCTTCTCATACATGAGATCAACTGTATTAGCCAATCGAATCATAATATTTGTTCAAACTCATTTGTCAATGTAGATCTGACCCTCAGAAACTTTTTAGTCAATCAAATATATCTCACCTCACCCGCACAATTAATTTAAGTCTTGAACAGTAGTGTTCACGGGTCAGTATTTCTCATTCATCATCTTTCATTCAACAGGTCATATGATGCCAATAAAATTACAATGAAATCAAGTCTAAAACGTACAGATTTCACAGTGTAAAAATCTCTATCAGAGTTTCTAATTACTGACCTATTCAATTTCGATCTATTGCCTGAACGTTAATTTTATAATCAATTCAATAATCTAATATTATTTAATTGATCACCAAAGTTGGAAGACAAAAAAACTGAAGAAAAAAAATTTATTCATTGAATTCTACATTGATTCTTTTTTTTTTCTCCATTCAATATCGTGTCACAGTGATAAAGATTTATAAAAACATAATATAAAACCATCGTAACAATTTATTTCTATATTTCAACACTCTATCCTGTTTGTTTTTGTATGTGTATGTCTATACTCAACAGTTGCTTACTTTTTTTGAATTTTCTGATTAGATTTATTTTCGATGGTCTTGGTGATTTCATTTCACAATTGTTATTACGTTTAATTCCACAAATTGAAAGAATGAATTCAAATGGTAATAAGAAAATGTGAGTGCTTTATGTTTATATTACTTCTTAGTAGTATAGTTATGCTATACGTAGATTTCACGTGAAAAGTATAGGTATTTGATTTCTTTGACTTGTCATTAATGATATAATAATAAATGAGATTTTACAATTCTATGTTAAACTGGAACATTAGGTTTTTTTATGCCTTTTAAGCTCAGTAGTTTCATTAACGTTCTGGACATCATCAGTGCTTACTTCACATGGAAGTCAGTTGTTTCATTAATTCACAAGTATTAAATCAACTTGTTCTGATCATTTTGTCGATGAATAGTTCACTTCAGAAGATTTTTCAATTGTTATTGTCCTTCTACTCTTACGGGCAATTTCTTCCATTAACCATTTAGCAGCTTCACTAGTTGGCATTTTCGTTATAGGTTGGCAAAAATTGATTGTGAATTGACCTGAATACCACTGTTCTTGAAATTCTCTGTCATTCTTTGAATCTCTCTGATCCATGATTTTGATTCTTTCGTAATTTTAGTTCTTATTTGTAGTAGTCGGTTCGTATTGTCATAAATGATGACATGTGTCATTTTACTGCCAGATTGTGTGAGTAGATGGAGGGGCATCCACTTTGTCCAAAGTAATTTTCGCCACAGTTGTCACAATTTATTTTGTTGTGTGTCTTTTTCACTTTTTTGCTTTTTAATCTGTATAAAATGGAAGTGTTTGTGTTGACTTGTGATTGACTTTGATTCCAAAGGTTTTATAATCCTTGTGGTGATTTCTTTGTCGTTTCTGACGTAAGTTAAAACGATTCACGTTTTGGTTTCTGGGGCTATTTTTAGCTGGTATGCTGAGTTTTCGATAATGTTGTGAGGATAGCCATTTTTCTTAGAACGGATAGATGATTTCCTTCGATTGTTTTGCATAAAGAGTGTGGTATAGTGCATTTTGTCTCTTCTGAATATATCCAGGAATGGTATTTTGTTAACTGATTCATATCCTCCTGTTAAATTATGTGTCTCCTAAGATACTACTTATCATTTTTTAAGTATTTCATAGTTCCTTGGTGTTGATATTTTCAATGAGTGTAAAGTTAAATAACCAACTCTTTTTATTGTTCTAATAGATCAGCTTGCGATTTTTCATAGATAACTGCTTATTGAGAACTGAAATAGGCATATCGACAGAGAAACTTTTTCTGTATAGTGATGAGACATGGTTCGAACGAAGGAATGGGTGATTGATTTTTCATTGAATAGTAGTAACCATAATCACTTTAGTCTAATTATATTTTTTTTGATGCCGATTGAATTCCCACCGTCTGAAATCTGAAGGGCTGGATCACCATGAATGTTGTCCGAAAAGGAAAAAAAACTATATTGCTATGTCTTTATTTAAATAATTAATGTATATAATAGTTTCCGGTTGGTTTACGATGCTTGCGGATTCAGGAACGGTTGATCTATATCCAATACGAATAATTCTATAGTGGACTCAATAACGAGACATACACACAGTACTTTAAAATTTCGCCGACTATACAGGAAGATGAGGAAGTTCAGGAAAAAACTCTATACTCAAGCATGGAACAACTTGAAATGGTATAAATCAGCATATATGATAATGGAAGCATGATTTCTAGACGTACAAAAAAATGACAATCGAAGAGTAATAGCAATCAATTGAAAAAAGATGAGGGTCATGTAAAAACTCGAAGTAGAAAAAATGCATTTACGATTACTGTCCCAATTAATACTTTAATATTATTAACAAAAACTGAGTAGTTCCATGATCACCTTATAAGATCTAAGATCGATGGTTTTTACTTATTTTTTTCTCTCATATATTTCGAAAATACATGTGCTGACTGTTATGATCCACCTATTAGAGAGCAGCGTATTATCGATCGGAACAGTGACGCATAAAATACAAGCGAGCAGCCTAGATTCCTGATTGGTCCTGCTTCCCTGTCTAGCCCAGCCAACTGAGTCCAGAACACAAGTCTCAGCCTCGGAGATATGAATCGTTATATTTCAAACATACACTGTTTATATACCAAACAAACAGACTACATCGTACCATAAATAGAAAGTAACATTTGTACAAAATTTAACCTTCAGGAAATGACACAAATAAATATTGACCAATAGGGAGATGACACGTTGGAAGAATATTGACCAATGGGGAAATGACACAATTTCTCATTCAGGAATAGCATTCGATAATTTCTGGGGTATTTTCTGAATACCCCAACACCTCCCCTTTTTTTGAAGCGTTAGAGATAATAATGATCCTTAGGATTTATTTTTATTCGATTAGGTTTCCGCCTGATGCGCTGCGACCTTCTTGGGAGTGTTGTATGCGTCTTGTTATTATTCGGGTCATTTTTAATTTCATTATCCGACTCAGTTAATATATTTATTGGTATATTCGACTTGATATCATTTCCTGTCTCCCGCTCCTGTCTGGTTGGCCGTATCTGGTTTGCGTGTCGCACCCATATCTTTTGTCCAACTTTTACTTCATAGATAACCTTCCCTTTTTTCCGTATTATCATGCCAAACTTCCAGGTTGGCTTTACTCCCGTGAAATCTCTTGCTATTACAGCTTGTCCCACCTTAAAGCTTCTGGGCAATGCACCATGCCGCTTGTTGAATTGCTGTTCCTTTCGTTTGTTCTTGCGGAGGTTGGCTGTAGATTTTGGTTTCATTTGCTCTATAGGTATTCTAATCTTTCTCCCAAAAATTGCTTCTGCTGGACTTTCTTGATTATTTGTTGTTGGGTTGGGTGTTGCTCTGTAGGTTTGTAGAAATCTTTGGATAATCTCTTCTGTTTCCCCTTCTCCTTCGGCTTTAAGCAGTGCACTTTTAAACGTATCCACGAATCTCTCGACTAGACCATTGGACTGCGGATGGTATGGGGGTGTCTTTACATGCCTAACGGCGTTGGAGACGCAGAACTTCGAGAGTTCGGCGGAGGTAAACTGTGGTCCATTATCAGACACCAGTACATCTGGACACCCAAAGCAGCTGAATACTTGTCTTAGTTTTTCGATAGTAGCTTTTGTCGAAAGAGACTTCATACAGTAGATCTCTGGCCATTTTGAGAAGGCATCAACAATCACCAAGTACTGTTTCCCGTTTATGGGACCTGCGAAATCCACATGTACTCTTGACCACGGATTTTCCGGTGTCCCCCAACTCTGCATTTCTGTCTTGCGAGGGGCTTTGATAGCTTTAGCACACGCAGAACATCTCTCAACATAGTCTTTGATCTGAGCGTCAGTATTCGGCCAATATACATACCCACGTGCAAGTGCCTTCATCCGCGCTATCCCTGGGTGTGCAGCATGTAGTTCTGACACCACCTTACGGCGTAAGTTTGTGGGTACAATTACTCGATTTCCAAACATCAAGCACCCATCCACAAACGATAGAGAATTTCGACGGTGAGAATACTGTTCAATATTTTTGTTGTCTATATGGGTAGGCCAACCATGTTCGAGGTATCGAATAATCTGCCTCAGCTCATCGTCTTCTTGAGTATGGTTTTTAATGTCTTCAGAGGATAACGGTGTTGCTTTTATGGCAACTTGTAGTATATGATGAATATCATTTTCCAACGATATCGTCGCGATAATAGAATCTTCGCTTTCCTGCTTCTGATTCGCAATTAATCTGGATAAAGCATCAGCTTGTCCAAACTTTTCAGTTGATTTATATAGGATTTGGAAATCATAAGCAAGCAACGTAATAGCCCAGCGTTGTAATCGATTCGCTGTATATGCAGGAATACCTGACTTCGATCCAAATATAGATAAAAGCGGCTTGTGGTCCGTTAAGAGAGTAAATCGACGACCATAAATCATTTTATGGAATTTCTTTACTGCAAAAACTAAAGCTAGTCCTTCCTTCTCAGTCTGACTATATTTTCTCTCAGCTGAGTTAAGAGTTCGGGATACATGAGCAATTGGCTTTTCTTTACCATCAGGAAAACGATGACTGATAACAGCTCCAATTCCATAGTTTGAAGCATCGGCGGCTACAATTATTTAAAGCTTAGGATTATAATGAGTCAGCAACAGTTTAGAAGATAAAATCCTTTTTATTTCATCGAAAGAATCTTGACATTCCTTTGTCCAGTTCCATGTTGCGTTAGCCATCAAGAGTTGATTTAATGGATGTCGTAATTTATACATATGGGGTACGAACATACTATAATAACCAATCATCCCCAAAAATGAGCGAAGGGTTGTAACCTCAGTCGGTCTGGGTATATTTTTGATGGCATTAATATTATCTGGATCTGGTCGACGACCATTTTTATCAAATATATATCCAAGGTACTTAACCGACTCGAGCTGAAATTCACACTTTTCTTTTTGTAACTGAAAACCAGCTTGTGATATTTTTGTGAGCACCACATCTAACCGACCCATTAATTCCTGCACAGAAGAGCCAACAACTATAATGTCATCTAAGTAAACTGCTACACCTTCGACGTTAGACACCATAGTATCCATTATTTGCTGAAAAATTGCTGGAGCTGGCTTAACACCAAACGGTAGTCGGTTAAATCGATAGAGTCCGCAGTGGGTATTACTGGTTAATAACTCCTTTGAATCTTCGTCAACTTCTACTTGTAAGTAAGCTTCAGACAAATCAAGTTTAGAAAAATAACGTCCACCGTTCAGTTTAATAAATAAATCCTCTGGCAGAGGTAATGGGTATGAATGATTTTGTAGAGCGTTATTTAGTCCTGTTGAAAAATCTGCACAGAGGCGAATAGCTCCGTTCGCTTTCTGAACCACTACAATTGGTGCTGCCCATGCCGAATAATTGATAGGTTGTATAACACCGAGCTTCTCTAGTCGGTCTAATTCTTCGTCGACTTTGTCAATAGCCGCATGTGGGACTTGACGTTTTGGACGGAAAACAGGTTTTGCATCCTGTCGTAAGTATAATTTCGCCTTCTCAATTGTGCAGCATCCCAGTTTATTCTGGAACAAGTTTTTATGCTTCTGCAAAAGATCTTCTATCGTTACGACTTTCTTAGTTACATGGACTGTGGGTGGATCGCTAAGATTATTTGCGCTTTTCATAGAGCATATTTCACTTAATGGTACATCCCATAAATTTAGTTTGTCTATCCAGTCTATACCATTAAGATCTAATTCATGTCTGTTCGTTAAGTAACAATTTCCCGTAAAGTAATTACCTCGGAATTTAACAGAACATTTTATCATTCCAACGAGTTTTAATATATCTCCGGACGCATTCCGTGCAGTGTGCTCTGTTGGTAATACTTTCGGACACCCAATTAAATTCCACGTTCGTTTCGAGATCAGTGTGATATCTGACGTTGTGTCCAATTGCAATCGAACAAGAACACCATTAACCATTAATTCCACATATCTTCTTTTATCCGCTACGCTTAGAGCCAGCGTGGAATATATACTGTTTATACATTTATTTTGGTACTGGTGAGGACGCCTGGTTTGTTTCGATCTCAAACTTTCTTTGGTTCGGCAGACTGTTTCTTTGGGGCCAACTTTATTGCATATAGTGCATTTATGATTTCTAAACCGACAAAATCTTGAGAAATGCCACGCACCACAATACCAACATTTAGTTGCAGGTTTAGGAGTTTTCGAGTGATATTTATGACTTTTGGTATTATTTTGTCTTTGACTTGTCTTGACAGCATGAACAGAATTTGATGGCGCTGCACTTTTGGTTTCCAGCATAGCGGTATCTTGTTTTAAGTTTATTAATCGTTGGCATTCAGTGGTGATAGTTTGTAACGTCATTTCATCATCATGTTCCATAAGGGATAACAATTTCATGCGAAAATCAGCATCAACAGGAGAGTTTAGACCAGAAATGAATAATAAACATTTAAATTGATCACTAGTTAATACATTTAATTTAAATCGTTCTGCTTGCAAATTTACTCTTCCGGCGTACGTAGTGTAATCTTCATCAGCCTCTTTAGTCAGCTGTAGACAATTATACCGGATACGGAATAAGGACGCCTGTTCACAAAACATTCTATTTAGGATGTTAACAGTTTCGTCGAAACTAACTTCTCGTGGGTGCTTAGGCAGGATATGGTTCTTATACTTTTGGTGCTCGTTAGGACCAAGCTTCTGTAAGAGCAGCCGGACTTTCTTTGCGTCATCCATAGCAGCAAATTCCACTCGGAAAATATCTTCAATTCTGCCAAACCATGCTTCAAAAGTGTGACCATTGTCTGCATCAAATATAAATTCCGAAACTGGATTAAGACATGACTCGATACTTTTATGTTCTGGAATATCTTGTTGAATAGATAGCTTCCCCAAAAGTGTTTCTAGCAGTTTCTGTCGAGAAGCTAAAATTTGCTGCTGTTGCTGTAATAATAACTGTAACTGTTCTAAAGTAATCGCCATACTTTTTTTTTTACTGCTAATAAAAATACTAATTCCAAAAAAAAAAATAGCACCGGCAATTATTACAGCTTATTTCTTCCAAGATCTGAGTCACCAATCGTTGTATTATTATTATTTTTTTTGTGCCAAAATCCCCGTCGCCAATTTGTTATGATCCACCTATTAGAGAGCAGCGTATTATCGATCGGAACAGTGACGCATAAAATACAAGCGAGCAGCCTAGATTCCTGATTGGTCCTGCTTCCCTGTCTAGCCCAGCCAACTGAGTCCAGAACACAAGTCTCAGCCTCGGAGATATGAATCGTTATATTTCAAACATACACTGTTTATATACCAAACAAACAGACTACATCGTACCATAAATAGAAAGTAACATTTGTACAAAATTTAACCTTCAGGAAATGACACAAATAAATATTGACCAATAGGGAGATGACACGTTGGAAGAATATTGACCAATGGGGAAATGACACAATTTCTCATTCAGGAATAGCATTCGATAATTTCTGGGGTATTTTCTGAATACCCCAACACTGACTAACTGAGAATACTTACTTGCTTACGCCTGTTACTCCTAATGGAGCATAGGCCGCCGACCAACATTCTTCAACCCACTCTGTCCTGGGCCTTCTTTTCTAGTTCCCCCCAGTTCTTTTTCATTTTTCTCATGTCTATCTCTATTCCCCGGCGTAATGTGTTCTTTTCTCTTCCTCTTTTCTTTTGACTTTGATGATTCCATGTGAGGGCTTGCCTTGTGACGCGGTTGGGTGCTTTCCTCAATGTGTGTCCTATCCACTTCCAGCGCTTCTTCCTGATTTTTTCCTCCACTGAGATCTGATTTGTTCTCTCCCATAGTAGATTTTTGCTAAGTGTCCGGCCAACGGATCCGAAGTATCTTCCGTAGACAACTGTTAATAAACGCATGTATCTTCTGGATGATGGATTTCGTAGTTTTCCAGTCCATACAGTAGAACTGTGTTGACATTTGTTTTGAAAATCCTGACCTTGGTGTTAGTTGCCAGTTGTTTTGAGTCCCAGATGTTCTTCAGTTGTAAATATGCTGCATTGAAGACTGAGAATACATATAGGTCTTTTTAGTCTGTATAGTAGGAAGCCTTATTATAACTTATCTACTAAGTTTAATTAATTTCAACCATTAAGCATTTGAATATGAACTGAACACACTACACCAACACTATATTTTTTGTTCAATCTTGTCTTAAGGTTCTTATTTTAGCTTGTTACTTTAAGTGTTCATCGTTTAGGATCGGTAAGAATTTATATGAATGAAATATTTAGAAGGCATTTCGTTTATATTCTTTGATAATCTAATTCATCAAATATCCAAATTACTACTAATATTACCATGTTTTCTTCTTGAGAAATTTTCATAAGTCACTTGACATCTATAATTATGAATTAACTTTGAAGTAAATCTTCCGTTATTATTTTATTCATGTTTCACAAGGCTATAATCTTGCTGTTTATGTTTTTGAATTCAGTTATTGTTTTGACAATCCAATGTATCTTACCAACTAAAAAGTCACTCTCATCTGGTTAAATGGTATTTTCAAAGTGATTTTATGCCTGTATTTCTTTTCATCGTGATGAACATGAATTTTAATGGTTGAATTCATGAGTCTATCTAAGCTAAACCAACATGGAAAACCTAGAAGCACTGGGAGACCGTTTCACCTTAGTATGAGACTCCTCAGCAGTGCGCATCCACTATTCAGCACGCGGGACCTCCGGTCTGAAAATAAACTAGAATATGTTACTTTTATTTGTGTGAATGTTTACTTATTTGTGATCTGACCATTAAAATTAACGTTTTTTTACTTATTATTATTTAGGTGTCGAAATGTTTATCGATTACAACAAGCATTGGCAACTTTAACTGAAACACATGAATCTGATTTAATTCGAGTGAAACAATTATATGAATTGTTCTTTTTAACACCTGAAGTAAGTATTGTTGATTACAGTCACAAAATCTAACATTTCATTAAGGAAAGTTTAATTCACAAGAATAATTATTCGATATATGGATTAAACAGCTGTCATACTCTTCTAAGTGTAAAATATAAAAAAACCCGTCATATTAGGAAGGTTTTGATATGTTAACCTGTTCAACTAACAGTTTCATATGTAACATGCTTAAATGACAGATGTAGATTCCTGTGTAATAAAAGTGTGCAAAGTTTGCATAAGGAATGAGAAGCCTGATGTTTAGAGCGTGTTTACAAGTTGAAAGAAGCAGCTTGCACCGTCGTGATATTCATCTGACTGTAAACCGTCGGGTTTAAAGCCCATCAATTAGAGGAGTTATGGTTTATACTTGCGAAACCTGTCCTTGTCAAGTTAAATATGTCAGGCAACTTTCTGTGTTTAATCACCGTTGTCTCCGAAGGATTGCTTACATCCAGTGACAACACCATGTTAGTAATGTGGATGTTGGTTAACGTGTATTTGGACACAGTGGCCATCTTGAAAGTCCAACTTCGGCGGCATGGATATGTACTACGAATATCTTTTCAATAAATGCCAAATCGTGCATTATTTGCCGTCACTTGGAAAAATTGGAGAAGTGGTCACGGTATATAACTTGGTATCATGGCATGAGTAGTAGTTATTAGTTATTGGTCCAAGCGGAGTACATTATTTTATATATTTTTAATGAACTATATTAATTTTCTGTGTAATGTAAATAATTTGTTCGGCGGTGATATTATAAATAATATAACAGATTTGAGCTAAAACGCTTTGAATTCTACTGTCTTCTATTTCTTTCCGTTTAGATGCCTGGACAATATTACTATCTCTTTCATTTGAAATGTAACTGAAATCTGATTACATAAACACATATTTCATAATTAAATTAGATTCACAGAGGGGTTTTGTGGAGATTGTAGTAATTTAATAATTCAATTCATGAGTCAATTGAAGCTAGGTCACTATGGAAAACCAAGAGTTATTTCCTGGAGTTCTAGTGAGAAGCCGTGACCAGTAGAGTTGGATGCCGGCCGGCTCAGTGGTCTAAAGGTCAGGCGTTTGCGCGCGACACGGTTACGTCCTGGGTTCAAATCCTGCGAACGGTATCGTGAATGCGCACTGCTGAGGAGTCCCATACTGGGATGAGTTGCCCGTCCCGTGCTTCCAGGTTTCCCATGGTGGTCTAGCTTCAATTGACTCATGAATTCAATTATTAAATTGGATTCATTAGTAGAAATAAATATATTCATATTTAAATCAGTTCAATTAATGGTCGAACTCCCATAAATTAGTTGATATTTCATCCGGATGATTGAATCTAATCAAATTGCTTCGATGAATCCAATCATCAATTAGTATTTTTGTATTAATCAAATATTTATGCGAACTGTCCCATTTATTATTTATCTTTAAGAAATCAAGGTAATAGAGTTGAGAAAAACTCTTTCTTTATTATTTTGCTTTAGTTTTCTTAATGCAATCAGGTGTTAACTGCATAGAATTTATTGTTTTGCAATAACATACAAAGTTTGAAATACTGAATAGTTAGGCGTCATCATGATATAACTACAGACTACTATTTTACAACATTACGACCGGAATCGAAATTTACGCTACTTGAACAATATTCTACATACAAACTGGTGGATCATATTCTACCAGTTACACGATTCACCACCAAAAATATAAAATCAAAGATAAATAAGACAACATTACTTTTATTCAACACAATTACAAATCATCTACACTGATTGAGTCTAGAATCGAAATCAATAGAAGAAAATCATATATCAAATAGTCAGTAATCTGTCTGTTCACACTCAGTGGTAATCATATTTTACGTTCAATAACCATATATTACATTGCCGAAAAGCGTTAGACTTAGGATATATATATATATATATATATATATATATATATATATATATATATATATAATGCGTTTTATTAATTTTGACATTTTACTATTTATCGTGTTTTCTTTTTGATGTCTTTTATTCATTTGATTAATAGGCAGTTGTGAATCGTTTAATGGAACATGGTATTGCATTTGATCATGCAGTATATGCTAATCTCTTTCATTTATATCAACGTAGTCATTCAACATATGCATATTCGAAAATACAAAGTTGTATTGCTAGACTAGCTACTGTTACACATAGTGGACAAATTTAAAAGAAAAAAAAAAAGAAGTTCCACGTTCTATCTCATATTGAATACAAAAAAATCCGTTGAATTCACATTCTCTTGTTGACTGTTTACAAAGAATAAAAATAATTTACTTTTTTTTATGATTAATTAACTTTTATTTTTTTTAAAATTTTTCTTTTTGTAATCAGTTTTCTTTTCTTTAATGGTTCTTGTTGTATGTATAAACATCAAATATTTCTTTTAATATTCTGTTCAACTTAATGTATAACCAGATATTTAAACATGCATAGTGTTTACCAAGGGTTGGCACTTGTCAATATAATGTGTCTGGAATGTTTTTTTTTATTAAAAAAATTAATGATATCAATGTAATTTAAATCGGAGTTCATCAGTGGCAGTATCAGAGATGTTACTATTAGTGTCCCCGGATCATAAACGACTGTGAAAATGAAATGGTCACTTTAACTGATCATGTATTTCTAATTAGTCGCATATTTGTTGGTTGCTAATGAAAATGAAACATGAACACTATTTTAACTGACTTGATATGGATGATAACGTGGTTAGAGATTATAATTGCCAATAGCCCTTGGAACTAGATTATGTTAGTTATCACTCATTAGCAAGGCAATATATACATTTTACACTGACAAATGACCTACCGGTTTATGTAAATCAACCTCAAAGGGACGTGTATCTAAGTTAGAATAGTTCATGATTACTTCTGTGTAATTGGTTTAAACGTCGTTGAAGGATAATTAACTATTTTCTAGCTGCAATCCTACAATAGATGCCAAATGCAACTCCGAAAATTTTCGCTTTTTCACAACTCTATTCAATAGTTTCATGTACACACTTCATTTTACTAAAATAGTGTTGTTTGCTAATTTTTATAGCTAGACAAGGAAATCTCACCCCCATATCAATGATATACAGTTGGGTATCATTTTTCTATTCTGTTTCGAGCGTTGGTAGACCATTGTAAGCTATAATTACATCTATGATAATCATCAATAATTTTGCATGTAGTAACATAAAACGTGCAGGTCTATTTGTTTCTTGTTACCTAACCGATTGGCAAAGAGTATCTGCTACACTGATTAATCTGGTGCTTTCCCAAAAGCTGCGTTCCCACTATTCATTGTCCAGAGGTTTCTAATGACTTAACATACAGACAAAATACTTTATTCTATCTTTGTAATGTTTTCTACACTATCTAGATCACCATATTTTAGTATTACGATTATTTTTTTAGGTTCATGTGGCCTTACCCTACAGTATTGCCATAAATGATCGAAAATTATCCGACATGGTTGTTTAATAAACTTTGAACCTAATTGCATGCTAATAGATAGGTCACGCGAATATTTTTTCATTTATTATTTTAGACAATACGATTAAGTGTTACTCAGTTCACTGTTGTTAGTGAATGTGACAAGTCTTGTAGATTCAAATTCATCAGCAACTATTTTCCTTGGGTTATCGATTGATTAGCGTTTTTTCCACTTACGTCGAAAATCACACCATGGTATACAAATGTATTCAATACAAGTGGTGTAGGTTAGAACTTTGTTGTTTTGATTTTAGTGTCATTTTATGCTTTTCATTCTTTTATCATATCCAATTCCCATGTTTGGCTTCTCTGGGTAATTATTATTCTTTCCTGACCCCTGCTTCTCATCTCTCATTAATTTCGTCTCGATGTATTGACGGAGTTCATAACAGCCTGTGGATACTTAGTACATCATATGTTGTCTTCAGCTGAATGAGAACTCTTCAAGATATTGGTTGTGAATAATTATTCATCAAAATTGACTGAAAGTCACTACTAGTGTCCGGTTGTTCGATATCCGATTTCGATGCGCAAGCCCAACCAGTCACTAGTAGAAGGAATAAGTGAGATGATAGTTTATTGACTAAACTGAATCGGGAATTTATGTACAACCATTAATATATATGTCTATCCCTTAAGAAATAAAACCACCAATGGCTTATATCTTAGGAATGCGAACTTCTTTTTGACTAATTTCGTACACTAAACTTTTGATCAATTTCTGATTGGTCCAACGTATCAATTAGGTCACAAATCTCGAATCCAAGTAAAACCAGTTTAGAAAGTCGTGATATCGCCAGCACTAACGGAGTGATTCAAAGTGAAGTTTCTAAAACTCAACTTCTTGAATGAATTACTATTGATTTTCATATCCCAAACATTTCCACCTGTGAGCTATTTTTATTCAATCCATCTTTTTGCAACCATTTTTGACTGAGCCTATTTGAAGTAATTTCTGAGTAGAAAATAATTTCCAACGCTAAGTACATCTCGCAACGAAATTAACCTACAAGTGTGCTTACATTGAATGATGTATATCATTTCTCTTACTGATATAAAAAGAGAATAAGTGTTTTTCTTTTTACACGAATATACTGCTGTTATCGATACGCTACACACAAACTGGTGGATCATGTTCTATGAGATACACGATTCAAGACCAAAAAGAGACTCAGAGTATAGGCATAAATGTCAGGATTTAATTTCAGCACGAACAAAAATAATAATCCCACGTTCGGTCATGATATGACATTAGGGTAATAATGAGCATATGATGATAAATTGAATCATAATGGAACGATCCGACGAATGAATCAATGAGAATAGTTGACATGATGGCAAAGTATCGATAAGATTATACGATTTGTGCATGTCCATCTCGTACTGCACGGGCTTTGCTGAGTGCGTTGGATTAGAGTTTGTGCTGGCTTCGCTGAATTTATTCGTCGAAATTATAGAGTGCAGGAGTTTCTTCATCGACGTAGCCTGATGCGTTGAGTTCGTCGGCGGCGGGCTCACAACTTTTGTGGGGCCCTTCCTATTTTGTATAATCGTTGACCCAGACAAACGAACGAGGAAACGACACGAAAAGAAGAAAGCGAAGTAAAAATGACGCGCAGTGGAGATTGCGGGTAAGCCAACTCCCCTTTAATCAATAGTTATAGTTACGCAAAAATAAGTTACAGACATGTGACAAGTAATGGGATAAGAAGTGTACACGCACCTACACGCTCATATAAAAACAGTGAAGATTGATAAGCGAATAATTAACAAGGTCAGAATGTGATTCAAGTAGAATGAACAGAATGGGCTGTCCGAAAGCTAGAATAAGGTGTATGCGCTTGACATAATAACAGACACTACACTGTCATTATCGATACGCTACACAAACTGGTGGATCCTGTTCTATAAAAATTTTATATTAACGCATAGATATGGGTATAAGGAGGCACCAAATACATACGCTCCACACAGATCTCATTTGGTATGCGTGAGGGCTGTGATACTGCCCGGGTGCTCAGACCGACGCAGGTGGTTTTCTTAGGGGACCACACCCGGAGCCTTCGACCTGAAGGTCTGATCCACAAGGCAGTGGAGTATCGTAAGGAGATGCAGTCCCATGGTAGACGGTGACCAACGATTGGTTCATACGCCATTTGTTCTTTCAGGATACTGAAGCCCATGTGCACCATTGGTTTGTGATCCAGTTAAAGCGCCGAACATTTGCTTTTCGTCCTCTCATTTTCGTAAACAGCACACGTGGTGCGAGGTAGTGAGTAGGATTTCCCTGGCGGAGGCTATATACGCGTGGCCATGTGAGAGCATTTCGAGAGGGAGAGTGGACTCTCCCCACTCTCGGCCGTACCAGGGCATTTGGGGGCCACGACCAAACAGAAACCCAGAGTGTAGGCTAGACAGTGCTAAACAATACTTTTATTCAACGCAATCACAAGGAGTCTACAATCGGTGAGCCCAGCATATAGAGAGGAAGACTAGGTCATTCACTATCTTGTCGTCATGTGTAATTACTCGAAATTTTTTCTGTATCTTGATGATAGAATTAATTAACCCATCATTAAAATTATTTAAAGATAATCAAATTTAAGTTATAAATTGAAATGAATCATTATTTGACATGAATTAGTTAATATTTCAATTGGTTATTATTTATTACTATTATTAAAGTCTATAAAGATTATCAAACACAAACAAGGTCATTCATTATTTAGTAATAATTGCTTTATGACAAGTTCATACGAGTTATTATTTAACTCAAATTCATTAACCCTATTATAATAACATATGAAATATGTAACTCAATATATATATATATATATATATATATATATATATATATATATATATATATATATATATATATATGTTTGTGTACAATGAATTTTGAAAGATAATTATCATCTGGAACTCAAAACAATTGTCAACCAACACCAAGGTCAGGATTTTCAATACAAATGTCAAGACAGTTCTACTGTATGGGGCGAAAACTTGGAGAACTACGAAAGTCATCATCCAGAAGATACAGGTGTTTATCAACAATTGTCTACGCAAAATACTTCAGATCCGTTGGCCGGACACTATTAGCAACAATGTTATGCACCCACAAATGATAACAACGACAACGTTAAAGAAAAGACCTCACCATTCTGATGGGAGATCTAAACGCCTAAGTCGGAAAAGACAACACCGGATATGAGAAGATATCATGGGACTGCATGGACTGGGAGAGAGGAACGAAAACGGGGAAAGATTTGTAAATCTGTGTGCATTCAATAAATTCGTCATAGGCGGCACAATATTTCCACACAAACGTATACACAAAGCTACATGGATCTCACCGGACCACACCAGAGAATCAGATAGATCATATTTGCATCAATAAAAAGTTCCGAAGGACAATGGAAGATGTGAGAACCAGGAGAGGAGCTGACACAGTTTCAGATCACCACCTGGTTGTGACCAATTTTAAAACTGAAGTTAAAGAAGAACTGGACAACAGCGCTGCAAAGGTTCAATACAGCCTTCCTTCGAGATACTAACAAATTCAATGAATTCAAGGTAGCTCTCAACAACAGGTTCCAAGCCTTACAGGATCTACTGAACGAAGAAACTACTATGGAGGATAGCTGGAAAGGTATCAAAGAAACATTAACTTCAACGTGTCAAGAGGTTCTGGGCCCCAAGAAGCATCATCATAAGGAATGGATCTCTATAGAAACACTGGACAAGATCAAAGAAAGGAAGAACAAGAAGACAGCAAGTAACAACAGCCGAACACGAGCAGAGAAAGTTCAAGCACAAGCTGGGTACATAGAAGCAAACTAGCGATTGAAGAAGAGCATTAGAGCCAACAAGCAGAAATACGTGGAAGAACTAGCAACGATGGCGGAGAAAGCTGCAAGAGAAGGAAATATGAGACAGCTTTACGATACAACGAAGAACCTAGCAGGGAAATATAGTAAACCAGAGAGACCAGTCAAAGACAAAGAAGGAAGGCCAGTCGCTGAGATTCAGAAACGGCAGAACAGATGGGCAGAGTACTTCGAGGAACTCCTGAATGAGCCGCCGCCAATAAATCCACCAGACATCGAAGCAGCACACACAGATCTTTCTATAGATGTCAATCCACCAACGACGGGGGAAATCAGAATGGCCGTCAGACAAATCAAGAGCGGGAAAGCAGCAGGACCTGACAATATACCACCTGAAGCACTGAAGTCAGACATCGAAATAACTACAAACATGCTTTATCTTCTATTCAAGAAGATTTGGGAAGAGGAACAAGTGCCGATGGACTGGAAAGAAGGACACCTCATCAAGATTCCAAAGAAAGGAGATCTGAGCAAGTGTGAAAATTATAGAGGCATTACACTACCGTCAATACCAGGAAAAGTCTTCAACAGAGTGTTACTGAACAGGATGAAAGACACAGTAGACCCTCAACTTCGAGATCAACAAGCTGGATTCCGTTAAAGACCGGTTGTGCACAGACCAAATTGCGACACTACGATTCATCGTCGAACAATCAATTGAGTGGAACTCGTCACTGTA